TCATCAAATTCTCTGTAAAAAAGTGTCCATATAATGTCTTAGTTATAATACTCCACCTATAATAATAACCAAGATAATTACATTTGCGGGTTTTACGATATTTTCAATTTTGGCCTCTAGCGGAAAAACAAAAGACGATAGCGCTATGAGGTTTTCGGCATTAGCAGTTTCTCGAAAAACGAGATCATGACATGTCAGCTACTTTTCTTCTAACTCTTATAGTTTTCGAGTTAGCCTATTCGGACATCGAATTTGAACCACCCTGTACATATAAACACGCAAAAAATTGACCCACTACATCATACCACTTACCACGCTGAGTCAGATATTGTTACTTTTAAAAGTTTTATCGCAGATATATTGACCTTGATTTAATAAACTGAAATCGTGCACACCAGCTTATTAAGACGAGGCAGTTTGCGGCCGAGGCGCTGCGCTCTTTGACACCAGTCTTGTGTTGATATGATTTTAACTCTAATGCCTCGTCCACAACCGACCTCGGCTTCTCGTGTATTATGCCGAGGTTGCTTGCAGCCGAGGCACTAAAGTTAATATATTAACACAAGACTGATGTCAAATAATGTACTGTCTCAAGCGTCCAAGGTCGCTTGCGGCCGAGGCAGTACGTTGATTAACAATGACCTTGTGTTGGAAATGTACAGGATGGTTTAAATTCGATGTCCGAATAGGCTATCTCAAAGCGCTATCGTCTTTTGTTTTTCCCCTAGATGCCAAAATTGAAAATATCGGAGGAGTAGGTGAAGTATTATAACTAATACATTATATGGACACTTTTTTACAGAGAATTTGATGATGCAGTCAAAAAAATTTTTTCGGGTTTAGATTTTGAGATATGACCATTTTCGTTTTTTTAAATGGAACAACCACTGATTATTCGCTTATTAAATTCGTTACTTTTTTCTGATTACAAAAATATAGGGTTCGGCAGATGTATTTCTTGTTGTTTTAGAATAAATCTAAAAATAAACTTTTTTTTATAAAATTTCTAAACGCCGCCGAAATCTATATAGTGTCGTTGAAGAAATGAAATTTACAGTTTCCTGTAAGTTACGGGGCGGTAGGTAAAATCTAAAAAGTTAACAATTAAATACGAAGATAACTTCTGGTATTTACAAACAAATAATTATATTTATTACATCAACTGTTAATACGGAAATATTTAATGGATTGCATTGTTTTGGATTGGAGAAATATGTTTTTATAAATTTTTAGTTATAGCGTACCGTAATGTACAGGAAACTGTAAATTTAATTTCTTCGATGACACTAAAAAAAAAGCTGATTTTTAGCTTTATTCTAAAACAATAAGAAGTCTCTCTCTGTACCATTATATTTTTCAGTGTGTTTGATGTAGGGAGTTAATATGTTTATGTTGTAATACCTCATTTTAAAATGTTGAAAATCAACCTATTCAAAACAAGAAAGTTTAAATTTAAAAACACGACAATCTCATTTGACAGATTACCAACATTAAAATAGAAAATATACCATTGACAGTTTCAACATAACCTAAAAAATATAATAAAAAGTCAAGGTTTATAGAACATAAGGTTACCTCATTCCCNTAAACTATAGGAAAAACCTGTAAATAAATGGAAAATCAAGTAAAACAATGTAAATGTATTTAATAAATTGGGAAATCATGTAATATTGTTAAAAATTACTATTACGAACATGTAAAATACGGGATGGCCCCACCACCACTTTCTGCGTTCGCACAACTGTACGCTTGCAACTACGCACAACGCGTTGACACCATTGTGCCGAGTACAGTCTAATAACGTATGAATAGTCGAACGTTATACGCGCTATCTTATAATAATAATAATAATAAACCACTTTAATCTGTCCATTTAGTATTTGGTTGTTTGGTGCCCTTTAGTACATATGCAGGTTGTACACAAAGTGTTTGTGTTCCAAGTTTGCCGTCTGTTAAAATTGTAAAAGTTTACACTTTTTCCACTATTCTTTTAATGCTTTTGTACTGTAAAACATTATAACAATGGTGGAAAAACTATTGGCTTTCATAATTTAGACATAAAACTAATTTGGATATGTAGAACTTCCATAATGACATTCGTATTTTTACATTTATTTAAGCTTAAAATGATGTAAATGTACAGGGCTGAATAATGAATTATTACATAGCAGACGAACTACAATATTCATAGCACAAGTAATTTTACATATAAATATAGTCATTTTTACGTGTTAATACGTGTACATTACTTGGGTTAAGAAGTAAAATTACATCAATCACAAACGAAAAGTACAAACATAGAAATGGAAAATGCGCTTGTTTAGATATGCATTTATTTTGCTATTACATACGTGTAACTTTTTACATGAATATAGATGGCAATAAATTACCAGTACTGGACCATGTAATTATTTTTTACTGTGTGGAGTATTAAAACTAATTCGTTACTTTTTTCTGATTACAAAAATATAGGGTTCCGCAGATGCATTTCTTATTGTTTTAGAATAAATCTAAAAATAAACTTTTTTTATAACATTTCTAAACGCCGCCGAAATCTATATAGTGTCGTTGAAGAAATGAAATTTACAGTTTCCTGTAAATTAAGGAGCGGTATTTAAATTACGGGGTATTATNTCATGAAAACAACATAAATTTTATAAGGGTCCTAGATAATACCAACAGAAACCCTAAATAATTTACATTGACAAGTATTATAGAAAAAAAACGAACTATATGATAGCACATGTTTAGAGATTAACATTTTAATAGTGAATTAATTCAATAAAGTATCACATACATGTTTAGTTGTTCAAAAAATTGACGTAAATTAAAATATAAAATTATATAATAATAGAAAGTATTGTAAAATTAATAATTTTAGGAACTCCTGAAGATGCTCCGAAAGGAGCGAAACCGGTAGAGTGATAATAAACACATTTCACCTTTAAGTGCAAAATTTGTTTAATTGAATAACCCAGGTGAAAAGAAAACAAAAATGAATAATAAGAAATAGACCTATCGAACCCTATATTTTTGTAATCAGAAAAAAATAACGAATTTAATAAGCGAATAATCAGTAGTTGTTTCTATTTAAAAAAACGAAAATTGTCATAATATCTCAAAATCTAAAACCGCCAAAATTTTTTTTACTACGTTATCAAATTCTCTGTAAAAAAGTGTCCATATAATGTCGTAGTTATAATACTCCACCTATAATAATAACCAAGATAATTGCACTTGCTGGTTTTACGATATNAAATTTACAGTTTCCTGTAAATTAAGGAGCGGTATTTAAATTACGGGGTATTATTTTTCTAGTATTTACAAACAAATAATTATATTTATTACATCAACTGTTAATACGGAAATATTTAATGGATTGCATTGTTTTGGATTGGAGAAATATGTTTTTTTAAATTTTTAGTTATAGTACCGTAATGTACAGGAAACTGTAAATTTAATTTCTTCGACGACACTAAAAAAAAAGTTGATTTTTAGCTTTATTCTAAAACAATAAGAAATAGACTTATCGAACCCTATATTTTTGTAATCAGAAAAAAATAACTAATTTAATAAGCGAATAATCAGTGGTTGTTTCTATTTAAAAAAACGAAAATTGTCATAATATCTCAAAATCTAAAACCGCTAAAATTTTTTTTACAACGTCATCAAATTCTCTGTAAAAAAGTGTCCATATAATGTCGTAGTAATAATACTCCACCTATAATAGTAACCAAGATAATTGCACTTGCTGGTTTTACGATATTTTCAATTTTGGGCTCTAGGAGAAAAACAAAAGGCAATAGCGCTTTGAGGTTTTCGACATCGGAATTTATTTAAAAAAAGAGATCGAGACATGTAAGCTACTTTTTTTCTAACTCTTATAGTTTCCGAAATAGCCTATTCGGACATCGAATTTGAACCACCCTGTACATACATACGTTCATTGACACGAACTTTTTCTTTAAACAAAAAATTAAGAGCATTTTATTTAAAAAACCAATCGATATTGTAACAATTTAGATTATAAAGTTGGCAACATTAACAAGAGAATTTTGTTATAACATATTTTGAAATTAATTTGTGTCAAAGTCACATTTCAAATTAAATTTTTCGCTTTTTAGTAATAAAAATGTTTTTTTTCGAAAACTGCTTTTAAAAATTGATTTTTGCGTAGTACTTAGCGACTGTCAAAACGATAGTTTTTTTGTCAACAGGACGTAATAGTATATTAAAAAACAAGTTTCGTAAGACACGATTGGAATGCACGAATTTAAGTTGAAAAACGAGTGGCGAAGCCACGAGTTTTTTAATGAATGAGTGCTTTAAGTCTTATGAAACGTGTTTTTTATGCTATTTTTTGTAATTCGCGTTTTTATCCTTTTTTTTGAACAAAAATAAAATAAATTTTGACAATGTAGGGAAGTAGGTATGTGGCAGTTGGTAACACTTGAAAATAGAAATTTGAATTGACAATTAGAAACTGTCAAAACACAAAATATATTCACCTGAAAAAAAGTTTGATGTACACCTCCCAAAATAAGAGAAATTGCTCAGAGTTCAATGTCCTCATCATTGTGGACCTTGTATTCTATGTTTATGGATGTTTAAACATCCATAGACAAAAATTGTCACATTGACAACTAGAAAAATTAATGACCCAATGTCACCAACTTGAACTGATTCCATAAAAGGTTACTAAAATTTCATTACAGCATTGGATGCTGTAAAGAGTGTCATTACAGCACCCGTTTGAGTACTGTAATAGCTTTCATTACCGAAAGAATACGCAGTTTTCGAAAAAATGTTGTTTGATACACGACTGCGAATGTGTGTCATTTCGTTATCTTGTATCAAAAATAACTATTATTGTTATTAACTAAAATGTTTGTGGAAATAAAATACAATCAAAAATAAAAGTGTTTTTATTTTTATTAATAAAAAGATTATTATGTACAATTATTACGTAACCAATAACTTAACCTATCTTATTAAAAAAAACAGTGCAGGTATAAAATTCATTAAAAAAACAATAGGACAAATTTTAATTTACTGTTGGAATCACAGTTAATCTTATTATAAACTCTTATATTTAAAAAAATAGTTCTTTTATTAGGTCAAACTGTCTGAGAACACATTCAGTCATTTATGTATACGTATATCTTTTAGCACCGATTTATGTTTATATAATCTTTTTTTAAACAATTTGTGAGTCAATAGTTGTGTATTGAACTTTTCTTGAAACAGTATCTAAAATTGGTGCCATTCTCATCCCGATTTTATCTCGATGCATGTATCCATAAGCCCCTAACAACGATATTAAAACCAAAACTAAAACGACTAATAAAACCGTAACGGCTTTAGAAAATTTTGCATGTTTCACTTCAGCTAATTCTTTCATATTAACAACGAAACGTTTTCCCGATGTACTTTTTAAATCACACTCCAATTGTTCTTTGTATCTTATATTAACGTTCGTGCGATTCATCCAATTATAAAGATCAGCGGCTTGGCTACATTTTAACGGATTTCCACGAATATCAACGGTCAAACTCTTTCCTGATCGATCGAACGATGCCAAATCTTTCTTCGATAATTGAGTAATCTTATTATTCTCTAAATCCAAAAATTGCAAATTCAAACATTTCAAATCGAAATTAATGTGTTGCAAATCGTTTGTTCCTAAATATAATTGCTTAAGCGATGGTAAATTACAAAAAACTTTATCATCTTTAAATCTTTTTATTTCATTTTGTTCTAAATGTAATTTATAAAGTTTCGTTAAATTACTTTTAACGAAAATATCGTGTAAATCGTTCGCTAATTGCTCATCGGTGTTGTCTTTAAACGCATTCGTTAAATGCAATTCTTGTAAATTAATGAAATTTGAGAAAACCCTCGGGTGATGATAAATTGTATCATCGTAATCGTTGTAATCATCGTTTATTATTATTTCGTTATGATTTAAAATTAATAATTCCACGTTGGGGATGTGGTGGAATGTTTTTCCTTTGATATTTTTTATCCGATTATTACTCATATCGATTGCTTTTAACTTTGTTAAATTCATATTTTCCCCGAAAATATTTGCGGGCAACGTTTCGATGTTGTGACCAGAAAATATTAAAGCTTCGGTGTCTGGGGGTAATTCTTGAAGCATGCTGGGGTCTCTAAAACCTTGTCCGGTACAATTTACTAAGAAATAGATGCGTTCTAAGTAAAATGTGTCCCCGCAGTAACATTTTTCGAGTTTTTTTGATCTACATTCGTTGTGAACGTATTTTGATTCGATTTGGTGGTAAATTGATAGGGTTAGCAAAATTAGAAGGGCTTTGTGCTTCATTTTCTAACCTAAAAAAAATTAATAAAAATTAAGTTGTCATTAAGCTGTCAAATACCTGTCATTAAAAAATTAATTATTTTTTTAAAAAATTGTAAAAAATTCTTGGAATTATAACTATAGAGGAATTACAAAACATTTTTTTTACTTTATTTAAGTCACGTTGTTTTAATCTATTTAATTTTAAACAAAGAAATAAAACTTTTTAGTTCACTTACTGTAATTTAAATCCTTTTTAAAATCACCCACTCAGTGTTTTTTTCTATAAATACCACTGAGCAACCAAAGAGAATTAACACTAAAATAGAAAAGTATTTTTCAAGGAATAATAATAATAAAAAAAGTTTTGAATAGGGGAGATTTTAAAATAGAAAGTTAAAACGAAACTAACACAGAATACGAAGTGGAAAATGAACCACAATTAAGAAGTAAAAATAACTGATATGAAATCTCTAAGTACACAATATTAAAATACCAAAATCAAGGTCAAAAATGGACTAATTATTCTGTTATGATGACGCAAAATACCCAGAATAAACTCTTTATGGTCCACATCGAAAAGGTTTTTCCCCAACTAAATTAAACAATTTTTTTTACCCATCAAATAAAAAACAACATTAATTATTAAAATAAACATAAAGTTAATCACTTTATACACAATTCTTAACCAAATAGAGCATATTTAAGTACGATCCTCAAGTATATTTTTGGTGTCAATGTCACAGACTTTCATCTGAAACACGTTTCATTACCCAAGACCTGTTTAACTCACGCTAAATTAACTCCACGTTAATATAACAGATCAAATTATTATTAAACCAATAAAAGGATAAAATACAACTTCAAATTCTAAATCAAAAATCGACTTATTTTATTGCATTAAAACTTATTTTGGCTCCAAAGAAATTCTTTTATTAATGATAGGATGTTTTAAAAGAGTCCTTAAAGACTTTATTTGTGACAATGATACTTACGGTTTGGTTGGGATTCTACCAGACTGTTGGGCACTCCTATTAAGTCTCGAGGATGGTGTTTTTGTCCTTAAAAAACCGTGAAGAGCGTGCACGAACACTTCAACAATGCGAGCCTCGCAGGTAGACTAAATAATTCTTTCGATCAACAGGTAACTCGTCGTTGCTGCGATTTGGATTGCATAATACCAGGTGGGATAGTTTTTAACACTTGATAACTTGGTTAAATATTTTTTTTTCAAGATTAGTTTTATGACTCATGTTAAAAAATAAAGATATATATTTACAGTATTTAATTATCGTGTCTAGTTTCAAAGATGATTTCAAAATTCAAAACATGAAAAAGTAATGTGGTTTTGTGTATTAATTTTATCTTTAACAGGTAACTCCTCTAATAAAGAAATTAACGGCAATTGGAAAACAATAAGTATTTATTTGTGTATAAATATAAGACCAAAAACTGAAATTTGTCTGTTTGAATAACGACAGTATAAACGTCACTTTGACACAATTTGATTAAAAAACATGGTGTAACAAAATTCCCTGTTAATCTTGTCACCATGTTTGTACATTATACAGGATGCTAAATATAAAGCTGGATAAAAAAACAGTGAAAATGTTTAAATAACACAGGCCGACAAATTTTTAAACCAGAGACCAGACTATACCTTCCAAATAATTTTCGATACCCTGAATCCGAATCTGACGTCAGAATTGCTTCATCACCTAAGATTTTCAAGATATCTTACCTAAAATATGCGAAAAACACGATTTTTCAGCACATTCAAGGCTGAATTTACATCAAAAGATAATTTTTCTCCACAGAAGTCATTATGCCATTTAAAACTATTTCTCTGCCCCCTTAAAATCTTATGTTATTCATTTAAATATTTTTCTTGATCTCTGAGAAATTGTCTCCTAAAACTAAGAAATTCATCATATTTGAAATAACATCTGTTTATTTTCCAGTTTTATTTACAAGTTTTAAAATGTTTTATTAACACTTCAAAGCAATACAAAATATTAATAAATAACAAATAACAACAAACGTATGGTCTAAAACGAAATTAATGATAAAGAACCTGAAGTGGCCTGCCCTTACCCTATCAATGTCGTTTACAGAGATTGTTAAAAAAAGGTTTCTTAATGTAGTTGGAAAAACGCATTAAAACGCAGTGAATTCAAAACATTGTAAATACTTACATACAAAAAAGTACAAATGACTGATCCGATCATACGATTTCGATAACATTCCATATATGGTATTTTTTTCTCATTTTACAGACGTATACAAAAGTGTATGTGTTCAGGTAAAGTGACACTTCCGGTCAAGCGATTTCGCTGAAATTCAATATATCGTAATTTTTTGTCATTTATTAGATGTATACGAAAGTATATGTTAGGCTATACATATCAAAAATGTAAGTTTATATGAAACGTTTGAAAATGTCTTCAGGTAAAGTGCCATTTCCAGTTGGTGGATTTGGTCTAAAAGGTGTTTACGAGCTTTCGATTTTGGTTTAATAGCTATATACCAAATGTCATTACGATAACTGATTGCGTTTTTAAGTTATCGTGTTTACACACATACATACATACGTACGTACATAAATACGCACAGACATTTTCTGGAAATAGTCAATATGGACTCAGGGGACCTCAAAACGTGTATATCCATCAAAATGTAGAGGTCGAATTTCAATACTTTGTCTCATATATACCTATACATATTTCGTATATAGTGCGAGAAAGTAAGAATTAATTTACAATATTTTTGTTTGATATACTTTATAACAATAAAACTTCATAACTTTCACTTATTCTCGAATATTTTTAAATTAATTTGTTTTTTATTGTATTTAATTTTGTATTTTTAAAACTTCTTTCCTATTTATAGCAATTGAGATGTTATTTTAGTTTCTTATGATAACGAACGCGCATCAATTCAAACGATCGTTTAACACTCTTACGCTTATATTGAGCAGCGTTATCGTTTCTTTTCAAAGACCAGCAGTAGCCAGCCATCATTCTTTCATCCCATCTACCTTGATAGTGTCGCTCTTTTTCTTTGAAATTCTGATGGAATCGTTCACCCATCTCTTCGCTGAAGGCTCCTACATTTTCCGGAAAGTAATCCAAATGGGAAAATAGGAAATGTAGCTTCAAACTCATTAAACAGCCTAATTTTTTAAAGTTTAATAACATTGTCGATACAATGTTTTTATATTGTTGATCCCGATGGTTGCCCAAGAAATTTTGTACAACTTCTTTGTAACTTAACCAAGCATTTTTTTCGTTATCTGTCATTGTTCTTATAAAATCGTCATCTTTCATTAAGTTTCTTATATCAGGCCCCACGAAGATACCTTAACTTTAGCATGACTTAAATTTGGAAATGCAGACTTAAGATATTTAAAACAGTTTCCATCAGTATTTAAGGCTTTTACGAATTGTTTCATCAAGCCTAATTTGATGTGGAGTGGAGGTAACAAAATACGCTTTGTGTCAACAAGACTCTTGTAAACAACATTGTTGGAACCAACTTTCCAATCAAATCTTTCAGGCCACTTTTTTTTAATCCAATGTTGTTCTCGGGCGCGACTGTCCCAAATGCAGAGAAAGCAAGGATTTTTTGTATTTCCTGATTGTAAACCAACCAAAATATTGATCATTTTAAAGTCACCACATATAAACCAGTTATGGATGTTGTAGTTGATTTTTTCGAGTACAAATTGAAGGTCTTCGTATGATTCTTTTCGCCTGGTGGAATGACCAATAGGGATTGCTGCGTATTTATTGCCGTTATGGAGCAACACTGCTTTAAGGCTTTCTTTAGAGGAATCTATAAAGAGCCGCCAGTCATCGGACTTATACACACCTACTTGATATGTATTGATAAGTCCTTCTATATCATTACAATAAACTAAGGAATTTTCACTAGAAAAATATTTCAGAAATTCCTCATCTCTTTTTCTGTACGCTGTAATTTTTGTTCCGGGTAACAACATGTTCCTCTCTTTAAGTCTGGAAGCCAATATTTCAGCTGAATCTTTAGAAAGACTAAGATCGCGAATAAGATCATCTAATGAATCTTGATCAAAAAGGTTAGGATCTTTGGCACTAACAGAATCCTCATAATCACTGTCCTTTTCACGTTCAACAAAACTCATTTCTTCCAAACGACATCCATTTTTATTAGGTGGTACTTTGTCTAATCTCGCTATTTTTCCTTTCTTGGCTGGTCCTAGTAAACAAGGAACCTCTGTGAAACATTTCAATTTTAACGTACAGTGAATTAAATGAAACATCTTAGAACTACGTTTCATATACGTGACAGATACGATTTTTACGAAACGTATCTAAAGATATGTATCAAATACATTTCAGTAGAAATATTTATGAAATATCATTAAAATATGTAGCAGAAACATTTCATTTGAAACATTTCGCTACAAATGTGTCTGAAACATGTCTGGAATATCTTCAGCACCGCCTGTGAACGTATGTACAAACATTAATTAATGTTTGTAAACAGAACTAACCTAAGGTAACATTCCTTCACGGTTTAATTGACAGTTCAAAAGAAAACTTCACGCTATGATTGGCATTACTAATTACTAAAGAAAACTTCACGCTATAATTAATGTTTGTAAACAAAACTAACCTTACGTAACATTCCTTCACGGTTTAATTGGCATTTCAAAAGAAAACTTCACGCTATGATTGGCATTACTAATTACTAAAGAAAACTTCACGCTATAATTAATGTTTGTAAACAAAACTAACCTTACGTAACATTCCTTCACGGTTTAATTGGCATTTCAAAAGAAAACTTCACGCTATGATTGGCATTACTAATTACTAAAGAAAACTTCACGCTATAATTAATGTTTGTAAACAAAACTAACCTTACGTAACATTCCTTCACGGTTTAATTGGCATTTCAAAAGAAAACTTCACGCTATGATTGGCATTACTAATTACTAAAGAAAACTTCACGCTATAATTAATGTTTGTAAACAAAACTAACCTTACGTAACATTCCTTCACGGTTTAATTGGCATTTCAAAAGAAAACTTCACGCTATGATTGGCATTACTAATTACTAAAGAAAACTTCACGCTATAATTAATGTTTGTAAACAAAACTAACCTTACGTAACATTCCTTCACGGTTTAATTGGCATTTCAAAAGAAAACTTCACGCTATGATTGGCATTACTAATTACTAAAGAAAACTTCACGCTATAATTAATGTTTGTAAACAAAACTAACCTTACGTAACATTCCTTCACGGTTTAATTGGCATTTCAAAAGAAAACTTCACGCTATGATTGGCATTACTAATTACTAAAGAAAACTTCACGCTATAATTAATGTTTGTAAACAAAACTAACCTTACGTAACATTCCTTCACGGTTTAATTGGCATTTCAAAAGAAAACTTCACGCTATGATTGGCATTACTAATTACTAAAGAAAACTTCACGCTATAATTAATGTTTGTAAACAAAACTAACCTTACGTAACATTCCTTCACGGTTTAATTGGCATTTCAAAAGAAAACTTCACGCTATGATTGGCATTACTAATTACTAAAGAAAACTTCACGCTATAATTAATGTTTGTAAACAAAACTAACCTTACGTAACATTCCTTCACGGTTTAATTGGCATTTCAAAAGAAAACTTCACGCTATGATTGGCATTACTAATTACTAAAGAAAACTTCACGCTATAATTAATGTTTGTAAACAAAACTAACCTTACGTAACATTCCTTCACGGTTTAATTGGCATTTCAAAAGAAAACTTCACGCTATGATTGGCATTACTAATTACTAAAGAAAACTTCACGCTATAATTAATGTTTGTAAACAGAACTAACCTTACCTAACATTCCTTCACGGTTTAATTGGCATTTCAAAAGAAAACTTCACGCTATAATTAATGTTTGTAAACAAAACTAACCTTACTTAACATTCCTTCACGGTGTAATTGGCATTTCAAAAGAAAACTTCACGCTATAATTGGCATTACTAATTACTAAAGAAAACTTCACGCTATAATTAATGTTTGTAAACAGAACTAACCTTAAGTAACATTCCTTCAGGGTTTAATTGGCATTTCAAAAGAAAACTTCACGCTATAATTAATGTTTGTAAACAGAACTAACCTTACGTAACATTCCTTAAGGAATGTTAAAACATTTCAGAAATAATTCAAAACCGTTATTGAAATATTTTAGTAATGTACCGTAATTGTCAACTGTATGTTGCAGAAACATTTCAATAGAAACGTTTCAATGAAACATAAAAAGGGCCGGACATTAGCAGTTTCAGACACGTTTCACCTATGTTTCAGAAATATGTCGAAGAAACATTTCATGTTTCAATAACATGTATCAGAAATGTTTCTGAAACGCAAATTTGTTTACTGGGGTGTTACGCTTTGTACGTTAGAATATAATATGTTTCCTTTATTTTTTCTATTATAACCTGTTACATCACAGGCACAGAAGTAACAGTCTTCATTGTGATCCTTAGGCTCATACCACATGGTTGGTGTAATGACAACTTCTTTTTTTCATATCGTTCCAATTAATCAGAGTTAATCTACAAGTATTACAAATAGATGTAGGTACCCATGGTTTACCTACATTTCTCATAAGTATGTTATAACATTCTAAAAATTTTTTTTTTAATCCAATATGGTTGTGATTTTCATCTTATAAAACGCTATAGAGCTTAAATAAAAAATAATATAAAAATTGTCTCTTTTAGAATGAATAAATCTCGTAAACAATCGTTTTATTTTTGTAAATACTGCTATAGTTTTCCCATTAAAACTATAACTTTGCTAACATACCAAATAAATTCATAAAAATTAACTGGATTTTGAATGTCCTGTTTCTCAATTGAATACCATCTGGTTAAAAGATAAATGTATGGTTAAATATTTCAACTTTAAAGTTTAATTTTTAGATATTTAATCATATTTTCGTATATTTATTTTACTTGTGCATTAGCATCGCTAACTTGATGTAACTCAACATCAGTTTATCGAGGACAGAACAAACCGACGTACTTATTAATTTCAACAGATGATATCTCGAAGAAGAAAAAAGATATTTAAATAATTGAAAAAGAGTTTTAAAGGGAAAGGGTAATAATTTCAAAATTTCTAAACAAATTTTATTTTTTTAATTCCGTCATGGTGAACTATAACCACAAATACGACCAGAAACCGTATTTTTAACATATTTTGGATAAGATATTTTGAAAACCTTACGTGATGAAGCATTTTTGAGATTAAATTTGGATTTAGAACGTGAAAAACCTTCGGGATAGTATAGTCTACNTTGTTGTCTACTTCCGGTATAACCGGAAGTGCGACAATCTTGAAAATATTTTAGGTGAGTTGGGCATATCGACATAAGTGCACCTACAAATTTTCAGAAAGATACTACTCATAGTTTCTCCTATATCGATCGACGCAGTTCGTCGTGGGACACCTGTATAGGTATATATGAGACAAAGTATTGAAATTCGACCTCTACATTTTGATGGATATACACGTTTTGAGGTCCCCTGAGTTCATATTGATTATTTCCAGAAAATGTCTGTGCGTATTTATGTACGTACGTACGTATGTATGTGTGTAAACACGATAACTTAAAAACGCAATCAGTTACCGTAATGACATTTGGTATATAGCTTTTAGATAGCAAATCCTACCTTTTAGATCAAATCCACCAACTGGAAATGGCACTTTACCTGAAGACATTTTCAAACGTTTCATATAAACTTACATTTTTGATATGTATAGCCTAACATATACTTTCGTATACATCTAATAAATGACAAAAAATTACGATATATTGAATTTCAGCGAAATCGCTTGACCGGAAGTGTCACTTTACCTGAACACATACACTTTTGTATACGTCTGTAAAATGAGAAAAAAATACCATATATGGAATGTTATCGAAATCGTATGATCGGATCAGTCATTTGTACTTTTTTGTATGTAAGTATTTACAATGTTTTGAATTCACTGCGTTTTAATGCGTTTTTCCAACTACATTAAGAAACCTTTTTTTAACAATCTCTGTAAACGACATTGATAGGGTAAGGGCAGGCCACTTCAGGTTCTTTATCATTAATTTCGTTTTAGACCATACGTTTGTTGTTATTTGTTATTTATTAATATTTTGTATTGCTTTGAAGTGTTAATAAAACATTTTAAAACTTGTAAATAAAACTGGAAAATAAACAGATGTTATTTCAAATATGATGAATTTCTTAGTTTTAGGAGACAATTTCTCAGAGATCAAGAAAAATATTTAAATGAATAACATAAGATTTTAAGGGGGCAGAGAAATAGTTTTAAATGGCATAATGACTTCTGTGGAGAAAAATTATCTTTTGATGTAAATTCAGCCTTGAATGTGCTGAAAAATCGTGTTTTTCGCATATTTTAGGTAAGATATCTTGAAAATCTTAGGTGATGAAGCAATTCTGACGTCAGATTCGGATTCAGGGTATCGAAAATTATTTGGAAGGTATAGTCTGGTCTCTGGTTTAAAAATTTGTCGGCCTGTGTAATTAACAAAAATATATATATTATTATGCTTCAAAAAATAATTTTGTTGATTGTTTAATATTAATTGTACAAGCCATATTTATTTTTAAATGTGGGAACTCCCGGTTACAATAAAAGTTCCCAAAAGAAAATTTTTACCATTTATTGTCAATAATAATTCACATAACCTCAATATGACTCAAAGAAAAATAATTACATCACTCACGAGTTAATTAAAATGCTAAAAGGTGTGTTCTAACCGAACGAACGTCCAAGAAAACGAGTTTTATTTTACGGTATAGTAAACATAGAAGGAGAACGCCTTTAAAACCTTGCCGTTAAGGTTGATTATCCCATAACCTCAATCTTTCCTTCATTGAAAAATCGCTGCATTCCACCGTTAGACAAGGTATGTAGACGCGTTATGGCAACCGAGGTTGCGTTTCCTGTCTCGTTTTTAATAAACGCGGACGCGGAAATTGGAACACTTCAAAATTAATTGTCAAATTCAATCGATATAACCTCAAAATTTTGAATAAAATTCATTGAAATGCCGGATACCGTGGAAAGTGATGTGGAAAAACTATTAAAAGGACTTTCTTTGGAAAGCGAAGAAGCTGAAATATGTGATTTTACACTTGAAGAACAAAAAGCTGCTTTAGAATCGGAAGGTAAAGCTGGAAATATAGATACAAGTTTACAACCGATATTAGGAGAAACAGTGACCTATATTGTTGCTGGTGTTTTTATTAATGAAGATGGTGAAGTTTTGATGATGCAGGAAGCGAAACAATCTTGTGCGGGAAAATGGTATGTACAAAAAATTAAAATTTGAGTTATTTAACAAGTTTTTTTTAAAGGTATTTACCAGCTGGGAGAATGGAAAAAGGTGAAACAATAATTGAAGCAATGTCTAGAGAAGTTCTTGAAGAAACTGGTTTAAATGTAAAACCTACAACATTGCTTATGGTTGAATTCGCTAAAAGATCTTGGTTCCGATTTGTTCTTACTGGTGTTGTTATAGGAGGCACGTTAAAAACCCCCGCTCAAGCCGATAAAGAGTCACTCCAAGCTAAATGGATTTTAAATCTCGAAGAATTAACATTAAGAGCAAGCGATATTTTACATTTAATTGATCGAGCAAAAAGTTATCATCTCGCTAAAAAGCAACGAGACAAAACTTGGCATTCGGATATTTTACCAGGACTTCGCTCACACACCAAATTACTTTTAAGAACAGTTATTGTTATTAAAAAACGATCAACAAACAAAGTCCACGTTTTAATGAGCGAACGAAATTCTTGGCATATCCCCGTTTGCGAAATTAATCCAGGAAAATCATTCCATTCGGTTTTAAGAAACTTTATGATTGAGCTTTTTGGGGCTGATGTTCCACAACATAGACCACATGGAATATTATCTGTAATTATGTGTTTTTGTTGTTTTTTTGCAGTTGTAAGATTTTTTTTTTTTAGGTTGAGCATAATTCGAATAATAATTGCGATGGGTTATGTTTAACTATTTTAATCGCTTTTAAGCCACCTTTAGAAGAAGTTCCCATTATTGGGAAATGTATTTGGCATGAAACATCAAAGGAGCTTGGTCAACAACTTCTCATTAGGGTTGCTTCCAGAAATTCAACATTCCCTATTCATGTTATTTGTTAAAATATTTTTGATATTATGTAATTATTTTTTTTATTAACTTTGTACAGATTTATTATTTATTTATTGAGTAAAATGAACGGTAATGGTTTTGTTATTTTGAAATAATATATATTATGCAACCAACATAACTTTGCAAAAATTCAAGAATCATCATGTGGCTTAAAAATCGACGATTTTTTTTTTAATCAATGTAAAATGACCCAAAAATACGTTAAAAATAAAAAGAAAGTACGGAAAAGTGTAGAACATATCGAAAAATCACATTAAAATTTTGATGTGACGTCACACAGAAGCGAATTAGTTAAAAATCTTGGCCAAAAAGATATTTTTGTCAATTTTTTACTTCAAAATTGGTGGAAATTAAAAAATATCTATACAATTAACAAGGATAAAGTATTTTATGATATACTGCTATTTTACTTAATCGTATCTACCTATATTTTTATATACAGGATGGTCCGTTACTAATGAAACAGAGGAACAGGGAATTCCTTACATTAAATTGTCACGATTTAACCCAATTTATGTTAGTCCAATTGTTAATAATAACGAAAATACAGATGATTAAAGGAATACGTCGCTTTTCTTTAATAATTTCGTTTTCTTTTACATTATGGCCATGAAAATTGGTATATTACCATTTTTTAAGACGATAAATAATAATTTGGTATTAGTTTTGATTTATAGTTCAGATGGCGTTGCCTGCCTTAAAAAACCCCTTTCAAGTAGACATATCTTTTTCATCGTTAAAATTTTTGCAACTCACACAACTTAAAACAGTTTTTCAGACATTTTTACATAACTTTTTGGTATACCTACCAATCTTCTCTAAAGTTCCCCGTTTCCAAGATAATCACTGTTTAAGGGCACTTTGCAAAATTTAATTATGGTCAGTAAACATTACTTATCATTAAAAATGATTTTATTTGGTCAATCTGGGAAGTTACGTTATATGTTTTACAAGTTCCTCTTTTTGAACAGTATATCGCTCAAGTGTTTTCCTTCGTTATCAATGCATTGCCGAATGCGAGTTCGGAAGTTCGCCATTACTCTAATCAACATTTCTTGAGGAATACGAGCAACCTCTTCTTGAATCGTTTGTCGTAGGGCTGGTAGAGTCCTCGGATGATGTTTGTAAACTTCAGTCTTAAGAAACCCCCATACAAAAAAAATCACAGGGAATAAGGTCTGGAGATCGTACTGGCTAGTGGATGTTCGCGCAAAGACATGAAGCGTTCTGGAAACAGCTGTCTCAGTTCTTGAAGAGATCTCCTGCTTGTGTGAGCAGTGACCCCGTCCTGCTGAAGCCACACATCCTGTTGAATCTGTATCGCATTGAATAGTGGTGCCATAAAAGTTTGAAGCATTTGAATATATCGATCCGAGTGAACAGTCACTGCCACTCCTCCTTCTTCAAAAAAGTACCGGCCGATGATCCCGACACTGTTTATCACTCACCACACGGTAACACGTCTATGCAGACGCTTTTCATGGAGTTCCCGAGGGTTTTGTGCACTCCAATAATGGTAACTTCCGAACTCGCATTCGGCAATGCATTGATAACGAAGGAAAACATAATAACGTAACTTCCCATTCTGTAGATTCCATTCGTGTTAATACAGTTTCGTTAATTTGTACCATCTGTTTTTTATTCAACCTTCAAATTAGGGAGGGAGTTTCGCCGCAGCCTGTATAAACTTTACCCATCTGTATCTTCGTTATTATTAACAAGTGGACTAAGATAAATTGGGTTAAATCGTAATGATTTAATGTAAGGAATTCACTGTTGCTCTGTGTCCATCATTAGTAACGGACCATCCCTGTATAAGACTTATGGTTAATAATTTTCAAGAAAAAATCTTGCAAATAATAAATTGAATTGACACAATAACATCTTTTAATATTTTACCGAAAACTCAGCGTGTCAATTCAATTTTTTAATTTCTTTCTAAAATTATTAACTTTAGAACGCTAACATCTCATACTAAAATTAATTAGTGTTTCAGAAAATAAATTGTAATTTTGGTTAGAAACTTTTTTGTGGACACCTATATTATATCAATTTAATGGTGAAAAAGTATCTCTTTATGTTTATTTTCTAACTGCAAATGCGCTCCCCAAACAAACAGCACATAACAGAATTATGATTTTTTTCCGACTTATACTACAACACGTATACAATATTACTTTTGAACAATGTTAAACAATTTTTTTTTGCCCATCTAAATATCGTAAAACAAATTATTTTCTCAATTTGAACATATGATGTAATCAAACAATATTACAAAAAAAAACTAATAACCGAATTGTTGCTTTCTGTATATTATACAATTCTACTTACCGCCAGCAATAGGTTCTATGATAAATTTTCGAAATACATAAAAAAAGTGTAAAGGAAAAAATTAATTAAAAACCACAATTTTTACCGACGTTTTATCTAGGTGATAACTGTTTACTAAACAATCAATTGACAACTAAAATATTTTGGCGGCGATTGTTACAATAATTATAAAGAAGGTGTTTCAAGGCACCTTGGGGTTTACTTAATCAAATAGCAATAATTGCATTTTCAATCTTATTCCTTAAATTTTTCCAATTTTGGCCAAAATTTTTAAAAAATTCGCTTGTGTGCGTCATAAGCAATGTCAACCATGCATTTAAAACTAGAAATATTCAGGTTTAGCCGTCTTAAGAGACGCCCGGCTAAACCCGAATGTTTCTGGTTCTAAGTCTAGTTTTAGTCTTACTTTTCTTTTAATAAAAATATACCACAATCTAATGCTAAATACATTTAAAATTAGAATTTACACTAGAACTCGAAGCATTCGGGTTTAGCCGCACGTTTCTCAAGGCGGCTAAACCCGAATGATTCTAATTGTAGGTCTTGTGTTAGTTCTAGTGCAAAACTAACACTAGACCGAAAACTAGAAACATTCGGGTTTAGCCGCACGTCTCTAAAGACGGCTAAACCCGAATGATTCTAGTTCTAGATATAGTGTTAGTTCTAGTTTTACACTTGCGCTGTCACTAGAACTAACATTAGTCCTAGAACTAGAAACATTTGGGTTTAGCCATACGTCTCTTAAGACGGCTAAACCCGAATGATTCTAGTTCTTGGTCTAGTGGTGAATAACAATTAAAACTAGAACTAACACTAGACCTAGAAGTATAAAGTTTCGTGTTTAGCCCTGCGTCTTCAGACCTAGTTCTACACTAGCACTGTTACTATGTAGAACCTATAGAACTAACACTATACCTAGAGCTAGAATCATTGGGGTTCAGCCGCACGTCTCTTAAGACGACTGAACCCGAATGATTCTAGTTGTAGGTATAGTGTTAGTTCTAGATTTACACTTGCACTGTCACTAGAAGTAGAATCATTTGGGTTCTGCCGCACGTCTCTAAAGACGGCTATACTCGAATGATTCTAGTTCTTGGTCTAGCGCCGAATAACATTTAAAACTAGAACTAACACTAGACCTACAACTAGAAACATTCGAGTTTAGTCGCACGTCTCTCTTCGGGCTAAACCCGAATGATTTTAGGTCTTGTGTTAATTCTAGTGATAGTTGAGTGAAAAATTCTTGGCAATCCGCGGTTGGTTTTGAAAAATTCAATAGGCGACATAACTTGCATAACATTAGAATGAAACTGCTGAAATACGATCCACAACAAATTTTTAATGTAGATGAAACGTAGGTTTACCATAATCATAAATCTGCAAACCGGGACAGGCGTGGAAACGAAAAAAAAACCTTAGGCTAGTATTAAAAAATATTTTATTAAAACAACGTTAAATTAATTATTTAAATTTTACCCTTATACCATTATGAATTATACCATTCATATTTTTCGCTTGAATGAACTTTTTTTAAGATTTTATTATTATTTTTAATTTTTTCATAAAAATCGCTACAAGTAATTGAAAAGTTAAATTTACAGTATAATAACGCTCGTACTGTAGCCTCTAACATACGGCCTCGATCATCCGACCAACAATTCTTCATTATCGAGAAAACACGCTCTATAGGTGCGGACGTTCCTGGTAGACACAAAATGTATTGCAACATTTTGACTAAATTAGGTGCATCAACATGTTGTGCCTGAAAATGTTTGAATGATTGAACCCATTTGTCAACATACTCAATTTGGGCTGTTGTTGTACTCCACTCTTCGTTATGTGACGCAAAAAATGCTTTACCAAGCAACACCTCGTGTAANGAGTGAAAAATTCTTGGCAATCCGCGGTTGGTTTTGAAAAATTCAATAGGCGACATAACTTGCATAACATTAGAATGAAACTGCTGAAATACGATCCACAACAAATTTTTAATGTAGATGAAACGTAGGTTTACCATAATCATAAATCTGCAAACCGGTACAGGCGTGGAAACGAAAAAAAACCTTAGGCTAGTATTAAAAAATATTTTATTAAAACAACGTTAAATTAATTATTTAAATTTTACCCTTATACCATTATGAATTATACCATTCATATTTTTCGCTTGAATGAACTTTTTTTAAGATTTTATTATTATTTTTAATTTTTTCATAAAAATCGCTACAAGTAATTGAAAAGTTAAATTTACAGTATAATAACGCTCGTACTGTAGCCTCTAACATACGGCCTCGATCATCCGACCAACAATTCTTCATTATCGAGAAAACACGCTCTATAGGTGCGGACGTTCCTGGTAGACACAAAATGTATTGCAACATTTTGACTAAATTAGGTGCATCAACATGTTGTGCCTGAAAATGTTTGAATGATTGAACCCATTTGTCAACATACTCAATTTGGGCTGTTGTTGTACTCCACTCTTCGTTATGTGACGCAAAAAATGCTTTACCAAGCAACACCTCGTCGAAGAGATCATCAGTATTAATTTTCTGATGATCATTTGCACGGTGTATTGCATTAATAGTTTCAGCAGATCGTTCAATCTCATCTCATTTCAATACGTGTTGTAATCCAACCCATGCAAAAATATCGGCACCACCAAAACTGTCTTCCCACAATTCAATGTATGAAAGCCATCTTCTATAAAAAGCAGTTACTTCCGTCATAAATTTATTGACATCTTGGCTACCATCAAGTTTTCGCAGCAATAGTTTTGCTCCTAACGGGACAAACTAAAACTCTCATTATTGTTCGAGGTTTACATCATCGTTAACCGGGACAAAATACTCAACCGGCCGGGACGATTGTCCGAAATCGGGACAATCCCGGTCAAACCGGGACGTATGGTAACCCTAATGAAACGGCCCTATACTGGAAAAGAATGCCTGATAGAACATTTATTTCTAAGAACGAAACAGCTATGCCGGGATTTAAGGTATTCAAGGAAGGATTAACGTTGCTGCTTGTCGAAAATGCGGCTGAAGATTTTAAGCTCAAACCATTTTTAATATATACATCTGAAAATCCAAGAGTTCTCAAAGGAATAGATAAGACTAGATTACCTGTTGTTTGGAGATCCAACAAAAAAGCTTGGATGTCAAAAAGCCTTTTTCAAGATTGGTTTAATAACCACTTTTGTGTTGAAGTGAAAGAATACCTTCGCAAGAACAATTTGGGTTAACTGCTTCTCTATGATAACGCTGCCGGACATCCCACCAATATATTGGACCTGTCTGAAGATGTGAAAATTGAATACCTACCTAAAAATACAACTACCCCCTGATTCAGCCAATGGATCAAGGAGTAGTAGCAATATTCAAAACCGATAGCAAATTATCAATTAATGAGTTTTGGGGTATTTCAATATGCTGTAGACAATATTGGCGAATCATGGAATGAGCTGAAATCAACAACATTAAACCGCGCATGGACAAAAATTTTGCACGATTGTGTTAGTCCTTCCAGAAATTAGACAAAACATATTAAGTTTAGCTAAAGAAGTTGGTTGAAGATGATGTCGCGAATTTGTTGGATGCTGATCGCCAGCCACTTTCGAATGAATTGAACTTGCAGAGAACGAAATACATATTTAGGCTGAAGAAGAAATAATTGACATCACAACCTCACAATTGCGCTAACTCTTCAATTTCTTCTGCTTGTGCAATCAAATGTGGTGTTCCTCAGGGCAGTGTATTGGGTCCGTTACTTTTTTCTTTGTTCGTTAATAGTGTTACTAATTATATCTCGTGTAATTATCATTTGTATGCCGACGACCTGCAGATATATACTACTACTACTGTTGCTGAATTTCCGGCAGCTATTGTGCGACTTAATAACGATCTATCTAACGTCTTGAACTGGTCTCGGAGATACGGACTTAAGTTGAACTCAGTTAAAACGCAAGCTATTGTGTTTGGAACTCGTCAATTACTTGGTAAGATTAATCCATCTGCCTGCAGTGATCTGATGCTGGATGGTAATGTCATACGGTTTTCTAACACAGTTAAATATCTTGGAGTCCTTATGGATTCTGCACTGTCTTGGAAACCGCAAATTCAACATGTTTGCAGAAAAGTCTATGCTTGCTTCCACTCTTTAAAAAGACTTCGCTGCTCTCTTCCTCCTGTGGTGCGTCGTAATCTTTGTTACTCTCTTATATTTCCTGACTTCAACTATGCGGACGCGGTTTATCCCGATCTCTCGGTGACTCTTCTGAGTAAATTATCTCAATAATCCGGTTCATATTTGACCTAAATAGATTTGAGCATGTAACGCCGTATCGCAATTACATTCAGATGTTAACCTGTGAGAGACGTAGATCCTTTCGTTTATTAACCATTTTATTTAAAATCCTTCATAACTGCACCCCAAAGTACTTATCAGATAGGTTCCAGCAATTATCAACTCATGAGCTTGCTACTCGTTCACGTTCTGATACTATTCTTACATTTCCCGTTCATAGCACTGAAATTTATCATAGATCAGTTACAGTACAGTCGATTGCGCTGTGGAATGGACTGCCTTCTGAAATTCGTAATATTTCTAGAATTACTAATTTTAGACATGTTTTAAAGAGCCACTTGCTTGCCCTTCAACTGGCTGTTTCCTGATTCTTTGTTCTTTGTCTTTCTCTTTTTTTCCTCACTTCAACTGCTGTCACTTGTTGGCAACTGATATCCGGCAGATTCTTTTAGTTTCTTTTAGTCGCTCTCTATCTCTCTTTTTGTGTCTTTTCTTTATTTTTCTCTTTGTTTTTCTTTTCTTGCTTAATCTTATTTGGTGATGTTAATAATATCTAATTGTCACTACTTGCCATATTCAGCAAATACTATTTTTATTTTTGTTTGTTCTGTTGGGTCATTTGGCAGAAATCGCTTGTGCGATAAAATGATCCATTTGCTGATACTGTTTAAGTTAAGTGTATCTTATGTAATTTTGTATTTTTGTCTGTGGCAATAAATGATAAATAAATAAAAATAAATAAATTGAATTTAAAAAAGTTATCCTTCTTCAAAATGATCTCAATAAAGAACGCAGCGTCAACGATTTTCGTGGTATTACCGCAGTTGTAAACTGCTACGAGGAGTTGAAAAAAGAAAAGGAAAGGGATGCAAAACAAAAAACTTTGGACAAAGTTTCAATGTTGGTCTACAAAATGAGAAACAACGGAAACTGAGAAACTACGCAATTTCTCCGAACGAAAATAATTTTATTTTACGGTTTTTATCAGATTCGTACTTAGTTTTTAGATTATTAATTATCGTTATTAAAATCTAAAAAAAGTTATAACTTGTGATGTAAATTTAGTTGCCTATACTACTAAATACTTAATAAATCTAGTATAGAAGATTCATTTTAACCTGAATAAAAAGCCTTTAAGAATCAATTGTGTTTTCTCATCACCCCATTTTGATTATTCTATAGTTAGTTTTCGAGGTCACAGAGAAATGACAGAAGACTTATTTTGACGTTTATCAAAATTCTCTCAATAAAAAAGTTGTACTCTTTATTACCACATCGTATTATTATGATTATTATTTGGGCACGTCATGAGAGATCCTCTGACATCGTGTGTTCCTGATTATTATGTCCGAGCATGTCTCTAAACGTAAGTTATAAAAAAAAATGTAAACAAGATTTATAGACGTTTCGTTATATTTCTTGATTTAGATGTATCGCCCCTCGGTTTCTACATCCGAATCGAATCGTAATATCGTCAATCTTTTAAGCAGCCGTCAAAAGGACGCGAATAAAGCCAAAAAGGTCGAGCAAAACTGTCAGTTTACGGAGCCTTTAATTCGTCGACTTGGACTTGAAAAAGAGCTTGAAGGGCATCAGGGTTGTGTTAATTGTCTTGAGTGGAGCTCAGATGGGCGGTGAGAAAGTTTAAGAAAAAGAGGGTTAAGAAGGAAATTTTTTTTTGTTATTTTAGGGTTTTAGCATCAGGTTCAGATGATACCCATGTTCATTTATGGGATCCTTTCCTTCATAAATGTTTAAATATCGTCAAAACTAGTCATATTGGAAATATATTTTCTGTTAAAGTGAGTTTTTGATGATGTTTTTGAAAGATAAGATTAAAATTTGGTTTTTTGTAGTTTCTTGGAGATGGTTCATTAATTGCAACTGGTGCTGGTGATTGCCGAGTTATAGTGAAATCGGTTGATGATACAAAAGCAAATAGTCCTTTAATTGATTGTAGTTGTCATTTAAATCGGGTTAAAAGACTCGCAAAATGCCCAGAACAACCTTTACTTTTTTGGTCAGCAAGTGAAGATGGTTTGGTGATTCAATACGATATCAGAGAATCACATAAATGTAATGTGAATAGCAAAGTTTTTATTGATCGTAGCCGATCGAATGAATTAAAATGTATCGCGATTAATCCAACAAAACCCCATCTAATGGCTGTTGGAGCTAACGATTGTTACGTAAGAATGTACGATCGTAGAATGGTAAAAACGGTGAAATATCGAAATTATCGCCAATCCACATTGAATAATCCCGAAACCATCGGTGTTCAATATTTCGCCCCCGGCCACTTAGCTAAAGACAACGTAAAAGAGTTAGGGAATAAATACGCAGCTACTTATGTTGCTTTTAACGCATCCGGTTCGGAATTATTGGTTAATATGGGCGGGGAACACATTTATTTATTCGATATAAACAATCAGAGAAAAGTTGATGAATTAAAGATCCCCGAAGAATTCAAAGACGAAAAATTAGGGAAAAGAAAAATAAATTCAGAGTTATTCGCAAATTTATGCATTGAGAAAGGGTTGAAATTGTTTCAAAGAAATTGGATAGGCGATATGTATCAAGCAGCACGATATTATTTATTAGCAATACAACAAAAACCTGAACAACCCAAACTTTACCTTTCATTAATAAACTGTTTAGTACATTTAAAGTGGCTAAAAGAAACGGAATCGTGGTTATCAAGTTATAAAAAAAAATTTCCCGAAGAGGACCCAAAATTAACTCAAATAATCGAAGAAGCAATCGAAGGAATGAAATCAACCATCAATTCAAATCCGAACGAATCCTCCAATAACAACAATTTCGGCCAATTTTGTGAAAACTACGAATTTATAAGCGACGTTGAGAAAGAATTGAGACAAGAATCGCGAGATTTTGAACTAAGATTTGTGGGGCATTGTAACACGACGACGGATATTAAAGAAGCCAACTTTTTAGGTGAAGATGGAAATTTTGTTTGTGCCGGTTCCGACGATGGTTTAATTTTTATTTGGGATCGTAAATCGACGGAGGTTTTAACGGCTTTAACGGGAGATACTTCGATCGTTAATTGCGTCCAACCGCATCCTAGCGCTTGCTTTTTAGCGTCGAGTGGAATTGATCCTGCCGTGAAACTTTGGGCGCCCAAGAAAGAAGATGGGATAAAAAATCCTCATAAAATATCCGAAATTCCTAAAATGATCGAAGTGAATCAAATGAGGATGTCGATGGATCCCTTTGAAACTATGATGGTGAACATGGGTTATCGAGTTCGGTATGGAAACGCTGATAATTCACCGAATTCGGCTCAAACGATTTGCCGCGCTAGTTAACTGTCGCTAGGGATTGTCTCTCCGCGTTAGGGAAAAGAAAACGCATTTTTTTTCTTGTGTAAATTTATACATTTCTTGTTATAGCCTAGAAGATATTTATATTAGGTTTTAATTAAATGTAAATATTCTATGGAAAAGAGGATGAGATGAAAAACGGAAAAAAACGGAAATATCATCAATTCTTATCTCTAAATTGTTGTTTTCTCTTATATTTTTCGATAAATATATCTTTGTAAAGATTCACGTTATTTATATTACTTAAAATCTCGGCCCATATTTTTTTTTTTTATTTCAACTTTGTTATTTACATCTTAATGGTTTATTTTAAGTCTTTATTTACTCTTTATTAATTTTTTTTTTGTATTTTGTGATAAATCGATGTATATATGTTTTTTTTTCTAATAAAAAAATCCAAGTTATTTATATTTTAATTATTAATAATTATTTATGCCCACATTTATGTCCATTTACGTCCAGCCATGTTAAAAGACGCACAGCTAAACACAAATGTTTCTAGTTCTAGGTGTAATGTTAATTCTAGTGACAGTGCAAGTGTAAAACTAGAACTAACACTATACCTAGAAGTAGAATCATTCGGATTTAGCCGTCTTTAGAGACGTGTGGCTAAAGCCAAATGATTCTAGTTCTAGGTATAGTGTCAGTTCTACATTGTGGCGTTGCACATATTCCCTGCCACATTGATTTTAGTTACTTTTTCAAAAAATCAAGCAATCAGTTATTTTACGTTACTATGTATAAATTCATTTCTTTATTATTGAATAGACTTCATCAAAAAAGGAAGTCAATTATTTTATTTTCAAAATACAAAATCTTTTTCTGAAAATACTGGTTATATTATTTTATAATATGTGAGAAGCCCCCACATATTTTGGTGACCCCGACGTGATTGGAATAAAATACATTAAATTGCCACCACATATTTTGTTGCAGCGTTGTTGGAATAGGAAAATCATTAATGATCTTAACACGTTGCTCAGAAGGAAGAATACCTTCTGGAGTTATATGATGGCCTAAAAAAAATCGAGAGAATTGACACCAAAAATACATTTTGAAGGTTTGACGTTAATGCCATAATTGTCAAGTCGTTCAAAAAGTTGTGTCAAATGAATTAAATGTTCCTCTTCATTTTTGCATTATAGCAAATGGCGTTACTTGTTGTTTTCGAGCAAGGTTTATATATTAAAGGTTGTCTAAGTTCCTACGCTGCAATACTTTGATTTTAGTTTGTGGGCGAGGGGCAAGAGCAGGAGTGTTTCGTGACGTAAGCGATCACGGATTGCGCACGCAACCTCTTGGCCATGTGGTGCTCTATGCATTTGTTTAATTTGAATTGCTTGGCGGTATTATTTTCCACATGTGACGTAATGCGCAGTATGGTTGCGTACGATCCTAGACAACCTCTTATATATAAACCTTGGTTTTCGAGGGGGGGAGTATCTATGGCGTTGCATATATTCCCTGCCACATTGATTTTACTTTCTTTTTCAAAAAATCAAGCAATCAGTTATTTTACGTTACTATGTATAAATTCATTTTTTTATTATTGAATAGGAATAGACCATCAAAAAAGGAAGTCAATTATTTTATTTTCAAAATACAAAATCTTTTTCTGAAAATACTGGTTATATTATTTTATAATATGTGGGAAAACCCCCACACATAGCAACAGTGCTAGAGTAAAACTAGAACTAACACTAGATCTAGAACTAGAATCATTCGGGTTTAACCATCTTAAGAGACGTACTTATGGTTAAACCCAAATGTTTCTAGTTCTAAGTCTAATGTTAGTTCTAGTAACAGTGTAAATGTAAAACTACAACTAATACTATACCTAGAACTAGAATCATTCGGGTTTAGCCGTCTTTAGAGACGTGCGGCTATATGTTAGTTCTACATAGTAACAGTGCTAGTGTAAAACTCGCCAATCAACTTTGAGTAATCCCGAAACCATCGGTGTTGAATATTTCGCCCCCAGCCACCTAGCTAAAGATAACGTAAAAGAATTAGGGAATAAATACGCAGCTACTTATGTTGCTTTTAACGCATCCGGTTCGGAATTATTAGTTAATATGGGCGGCGAACACATTTATTTATTTGATATAAGTGAAAAAGTCGAGAAAAGTCGATGAATTAAAGATCCCCGAAGAATTCATAGTCGAAAATTAGGAAAATGAAAAATAAATTGATTTGATTTCATAAACTCTTTAAGTTTTTTCAAAAACGATCTCTCGTAACGGTCCTCCAACGTTCTTTTATTTCTCCTGGTCGAAATCGATCCATTTATTGCAATACCATTCATAAATTCATCTAAATGTGTTGATTTCTGCAATATAATAATAATTAATAAAAAAAATATATATATACAGTGTGTCCCCGAATTGTGTCCTTGTAAGGTATAATTGAGGATACATTTTTGAATTCAAATTCCATCTTTTGCAATTAAAGTCTGGATGTCATAAAACGAAATATAACCAAGTTTTACGTCAAATGTCTTCAAAGTACCAAAGTTAACGCAAGAAGTTTGTTAACCGTTGCAGGTAAGGTGGTCTTTCTGAGCAATATACAACAAAAGTTAATTAAGATAAAATCTTTGTTGTGTTCAATTATAGCGATATGCCGAATTTTATTAATTTAGGATATAAAAGCAAATGCAGATTTTTAAATCATAAGATTAACAAAACATTTTCGATCTAAACTAAATTAACGTAAAAGCTTATTCAATGATACCACCACCAACACTTACACATAATTCAGCCCTTTTCCGACATTGTTTATAACTTTTTCTAATACGGTCCAACGGAATTTCCCTAATAACAGTTTCTTTGACTTCTTGGCGGCCATGGTTGCGGACCATATCTACCAATCCATTTTTTTCCAAATAACGTATTTAATTAATTTCTAATTATAATGGTGGAATGTGGGCCGCAACCATCTTGTTAAAAATATAATTTATTACGTTTTTCTAAATCCACGCCGTGAAGATAATTAAATAAACAATTTTCTAGTATTTCCAAATATCGGTGTTGATTCAAATTGCCGTTTATGAAGTAAGGCCCAATAACACCGTCCCACGAAAGAGCACTACCACACATTCACTTTCTGGGAATACTGGCGTTTACAAGCTATGCGATAATGTGGATTAGTCTTTGACAAGAATCGACAATTTTGTGATGTAACCACTCCATTAGTGGTGAACGATGCTTCGTCCGAAAATATTGTTTTTTAAAAAAGTTGTCTTTCAAAATTTTGTACCCAAGCCACGAACAATAATCTAAACATTTTGCTTCATCACCTAATTCGATAGTGTGGTTAAATTTTGGTTAATACGGCAATAGTTTATTTTCTCGATAAATTCTTTGTAAATGGGATTTAATTATACCGACTTTTTCTTAACGACACCTTACCGTAATCCCTTGCGTTCGTTACTGCAACAATCGACACCGCATCATGTTCATCTAAAAGTTTTTCCTCAAAAAGCAAAAAACTAAAAACTACTTAAACCTGCAATGTAACTAATGTTCCCCAATCCATAGCACTGCATTTTATGTTGTAATGTAAACATGATCAATTAATATTTGATAATAGGCTAAAGCTAAGCTATCAAATGATAATTGTTAGTTTACTCAGATTATTTGTTTTTATTGTAAAACGGAATATTAGAAAAAAAATTTCAAGAAAAATTCAAATGCGTCAAATTGACGCATTTACAGTTTATTTTTTTTAAATAAATAAACATAAATACATACATTGTGGTATTTATTGTTTCATCTGTATGCAAATACATACTTGAGATTACAGCCAATTAAAACTCATAGGTCAATTTTAAGGATGATTATCTTTTACTTACATCACAATACGATTCTTTTTCTAAAGTTAAATTGCAATTAAAGTGGAAATACCAATCTAATCGGTTTTTAGTGATCCATAATTAAAAAATACGATTAAAACTGATCGTCAACAAAACATACCGTGCTTGCGTTTGGGTTTTCAGCTCGCTATTAATCTTTATCGAAATGTCAACTGGAAAAGTAACAATATTGTGCGTTGCACTTTTATTCGGTTTGCTTTTGTTGGTCGAAGAAGGAGATGGTATCAAATGCGTTTGCATGAATTGGAGAAATTGTCACGGTGACATCAACAACGAGTAAGTTAATTATTAGTAACTTAATTCAAAAATTATTGATTGCGTTGAATCGTTTCAGCGTTCATTGCCCGATGGGTTATATTAATGTTTGTTGTGTTACGCCAGAGCAAAAAGTGTGGTTTACTGATAATAATGAGACTGATAAAAAGGAATAATATTAATGTTTACCTGATTGAGTCGTTTTCTTTTCAACCTCCATATCCGATAAATCCAATAACCCTTTACCCAAATTTATCGACATTTTTACAACATCGAAAACCTTAATGTTAAAATGTTGCATCATGCTTCGTTTGGTTTCAGGAAGCACTTAAAAGAAACGTAAATATGTGGCAACATTGTATTTGCGTACTACTGTGTAGTAGGTACCGTAATATTTTTTGAATTTTAATCTATGAAAACATTTTATTCGTGATTTCGTCTAGAGGATTGAGATCGGGAGATCTCGCATGCCATAAGATAGGACCGCCGCGACCACTTCATCTGTTTGGAAAGTTTATTGGAACAGTTTTTGACATTGTCATTGATTGTCATGCTCTTAATTGATATATGTAAACAAGCATTTGTGTCCAATTGTTAATTGTAATTTTACCAACGTAAAAATGCCTAAAAAGCACGTTAAAAATAAAAAGAAAATGCGGAAAAGTGAAAAAATTACCCAAAAATGAGTTTTAAATTTTGACGTGACGTCACATTTTGTGACGTAACGAAGCTTACTTACAACGTATTTAACACAATAGTACGGTTAACACTGGTCTGAGAAAGTAATTTTTTGTAATTCGCGACGGTAATGAAAGCTATTACAGTGGGTGCTCAAACGGGTGCTGTAATGAGACTCCCAGAGACTCCTTACAGCATCCGATAACCGATGCTGTAATGAGATTTTAGTAACATTTTATGGAACCAGTTCAAGTTAGTGACATTGGGTCATTAATTTTTCTAATTGTCAATGTGACAATGTTTGTCTATGGATGTTTAAACACGTTCTTAGCATCGAATACAAGGTTCACAATGATGTGGACATTGAACTCTGAGCAATTTCTCTTATTTTGGGAGTTGTACATGAAACATTTTTGTCAGGTGAATACATTTTGTGTTTTGACAGTTTCTAATTGTCAATTCAAATTTCTATTTTCAAGTGTTACGGTGTTACCAACGGTTACATACCTATTTCCCTATATTGTCAAAATTTATTTTATTTTTGCGAATTACAAAAAATAGCATAAAAAACACGTTTCATAAGACTTAACTTTTTACGTTTTTTAATATACTATTTCCACGCACACAACACGAATAAAGTAAGTAAAAATTAAATTATTTTCTCAAATTTAATGAAAGAATGAAGAACTTTTAGTATTATTGATCTTTTAGTACTTGTAAATATTGCTTTTTGACTAGTACATTAAGATGCATTAGTAAAATACAGTCAATGAACTAAAATAGATTGCAACCTTAACACTAGAAATAGAAGAAAAATTGTTCTTAATAATATAGCTGTAAATAAGAAATCTCAAAATCGGTTACTAAACTCGATTATAACTCAAAAATTAAAATTGATTGGAAAAATCAACCAAGCGTGATCTATCAACACTTACAACCTAGATTCTAGATATAAATATATATTATAGATAGAAAAAATGTTCAAAACAGATTTTAAAAACAAAAAATTAGAAAATTCTTTGACATTGACATTTCAAATGTTAAAGTTGGTAATATCAGAAAATATTAAAAAGGAATTTCAAGTTAATGAATTGACCAATCAGGATACACTATTTTTTAATTTCAACATTAAACAAAGGAAAATTAAAAATTTTAGTGTGATTTTGAACTTGAGAGAGAACATTCGCAAATTTTGTCTTGTCGAACATTATAAACAACGTTTTAGGTTATGTAAAAAGATAAACATTGACATAACCTCAAAAAAAAAGGAATTTGAAGAATTTCTCCGATACAAAGAAGAAAAAAATTATAATTAATGAAGAAACATCAATTTGGTTCCTATTCCTGACAAACCCTTGAATCCCGTACCGTGGACTTATTTGTCCTACAACCAACAGACTAAGCTAAGTGTTGTTATTTTCTTTAGATTTATTTTTGTTAATTTAGTTAATAATACACTTACCTAAAAAAACTTACCTAAAAAAAAGATAATTTTGAGACATTACTCATAATAATTCATTACATGACTTATTAATTTTTTTTTGTGGTTATGTTGTTACCGAGGGTTAAACCGCTGGGGAAGTAGGTGTACAAAATAGGGGAAATACGGAGAAATTATGGAGAAGTTCGACGAATTACGGAGAAGTCTGGGGAATTATGGGGAGATGCGAGTAATTACGGGGAAGTACAAGGAATTACAGGGAATTATCGAGGAAGTTTGGGGAAGTACGGGGAATTATTGGGGAAGTACGGGAAATTATTTAGGGAAATTTGGGGATATATTGAAACACGATCGAACACGATTAAACACGATATCTAACGATCGAAGTTACGATGTTCCATAAACAAGCTAGATCTAGTATTAGGTGCGCAGTTTTTGTTTCATAAAGGGTGTGTGAATTGTTACTAGTAGAAGCATCGTTTTCATTCAAAGGTAAGATTGAATGAGTATCATATTAAAATTTAAATTTATATTAACATATCGTGAAGAGTCAATGGTACTAAATTCGCTCGTAAATTCTGTTTTGTATTAGGCGCCAGGATGACGGCAAATCGCTATCGCTGTTTTCAAGAGGCCGAAAATTTTCNATTTTCCAGTGTTACGGTGTTACCAACTGCTACATACCTATTTCCCTACATTGTCAAAATTTATTTTATTTTTGAGAAAAGAAAAGGATAAAAACGCGAATTACAAAAAATAGCATAAAAAACACGTTTCATAAGACTTAACTTTTTACGTTTTTTAATATACTATTTCCACGCACACAACACGAATAAAGTAAGTAAAAATTAAATTATTTTCTCAAATTTAATGAAAGAATGAAGAACTTTTAGTATTATTGATCTTTTAGTACTTGTAAATATTGCTTTTTGACTAGTACATTAAGATGCATTAGTAAAATACAGTCAATGAACTAAAATAGATTGCAACCTTAACACTAGAAATAGAAGAAAGATTGTTCTTAATAATATAGCTGTAAATAAGAAATCTCAAAATCGGTTACTAAACTCGATTATAACTCAAAAATTAAAATTGATTGGAAAAATCAACCAAGCGTGATCTATCAACACTTACAACCTAGATTCTAGATATAAATATATATTATAGATAGAAAAAATGTTCAAAACAGATTTTAAAAACAAAAAATTAGAAAATTCTTTGACATTGACATTTCAAATGTTAAAGTTGGTAATATCAGAAAATATTAAAAAGGAATTTCAAGTTAATGAATTGACCAATCAGGATACACTATTTTTTTACAACGTTTTAGGTTATGTAAAAAGATAAACGTTGACATAACCTCAAAAAAAAACTAATTTGAAGAATTTCTCCGATACAAAGAGGAAAAAAATTATAATTAATGATGAAACATCATTTTGATTCCCATTCCTGACAAACCCTTGAATCCCGAACCGTGGACTTATTTGTCCTACAACCAACAGACTAAGCTAAGTGTTGTTATTTTCTTTTGATTTATTTTTGTTAATTTAGTTAACAATTCACTTACATTTAATACGAAAGATAATTTTGAGAGGTTACTCATAACAATTCATTTCATAACTCTTTATTAATTTTTTTTTGTGGTTATGTTGTTACTATTTAAACAAGTTATTTTCCCCAATTTGGTGGAATAATAAAATCATTAATCTTAGTTCGTATTAACTAAAATTTAGGAAATTAGTATGAACCGGTTATTACCCTGAGGCTCGCGCTCGATTAGACTTCACAACGTCGCTAGTTTCAATTGAATTTTTAAAATTAAACAGTTAAATTATTTATTGTTTATTATTTGAGTTTTCAAATTTAATTGAACAAAAAACATTAAGTACAGTATATTAGATTATATAGTAGAACTACAATCATTTAGGTTTAGCCGTCTAAAAGAGACGCACTAGAATGTTTCTAGTTCTAGGTTTAGTGTTAGTTCCAGTTTTAGTAGTTCCCCAAATATCTGAGATTATGATGCAAATGAGTAAAATTATATGTATACAGTAAACCGCGTATGACTATATAAGCGCGTGTATTAGAAGGTAAACTTTTTAAATTAGACACTAAAAGGATATTCTCTAAAAACCTTTTCAATATCAATTTCATTTTTAGTTTTTTCCGGGCAAACAAAAATTAACATTGAAGTGCATCTCGAGGCCATAATATAAGTTCTTTTCCGATCCTCGCAATCTTTTGTGTCATAATCGTCCTCATCAAAAACTAAAACGACAACGGTAAATTCGATCCCCTTAGTTTTGAGAGCCCACGAAATCAAGAAGTCGTTCACTCCTTTTTTCGTGATGAATGTCTCAATTTCTCCAACTGCTCGGGGGCGATAACCGTTTTCGACAAAATGTCGGTCGATTTCTTCGTTGAATACTTTGGGATTGAGGGAGTCGTTTAAAAAGAATGGGATGATGCAAATATCGTTCGGTTTGAATCCTTTTGATCCGCAAAGATCGATGATTAATTTTACCGTTAAATTTAAAGGGTAGCGTTTGGGTCGGTTCAAATCGGTGTTTAACCAAAAAATTGGTGGACCGGAAATGTGATGGCCCAAGGAAATGTTTGGTATATTAATGTTGTTTAAGATCTTTTGTGGTAAATTAGGCATTGGATTTGAATAGAATTGTTTAAAAATATTAAAAATATATCCGGTTGATCGCATAACTTTCGATAAAATAATCGATGGGGTTTTTAATAAATTTGGGGAATGTCTTGGTAAAAACAAAGAAGCTTGATGCATATCAACTAAAAACCACAACTCCCCCCAATCTTGATTAATATGACTTATCTTATTTCCATCTTGGTATTTTTGAAAAATCGTAGATAAAGTTGTCGTCATGATTTCTTTGTCAAAAGCCAAACAAATAGCTTCAGCTTCGTCCATAAAAACGTGTTTGTAATTTCGCTCGTTTAAACGCATAAACCCCGATTGGGAGATATAAAAACGAGTTGTATCAACAAATTGTTTTATCTTGAGAATTTTTAATTTTTCTTCGACTTCACATCTAAAAATTTAATTTTCAAGGACTAATTGTTTTCATTTATTTATTTTTACCGTATCCCCGGCCAATAACAAATATATAAAGCCCGATTTTCGTCGTTTAATCTCCCTTGATAAAATAGTTCCTCCAATTTTTTTAATATTAATAAAGTTTTTCCGGTTCCAGCAGCACCATGTACCACCAAAGGTTTTCCTTTTTCCATCTTACAAACGTTACTGTTTAAAAGCTCGAGTTGTTCTTGATTTAATAAAGCTAACATTCCTTCGTTTATTTCGTCGACAAAAACTCCACAACTTAAAACAATATATCTGCAAGAAAAAAAATTCACTTTTTAATCAAAATTATAAATAAATGATTTGTGTATTTTAAAAAAACTAAAAAAGTGTTGCGAAAAGGTATTTGACAATTTAATAAAAAACATATAAGGTATAACATTAAATTTGGTTTGTTCATTTGGAGGATTGAAAGACACTGTGTCTTTCATTCTTTCAATTTGTTATTGTCATTACATTGTTTAATTTTTGAAATTTTAATGGCATTGGTGTACAATATACAGCTGCTGAAGGTTCTAATGGGATGTGTCCATTAGTTCTGACTATTGGGAAATCCTTAAGAATCAGCAAACTAGCAGATATTGAACATTGGGTTCCTTTTACTTGAGTTTTGACATAGTAAATTTTTCCTTTTCCTTAGTAGACGTCGTTTTCTTAACATATTGTGTATAATGATCAATGAATATTGGTACAGATAGTAACTTAGTTATTCCAATATGAGAAGCTAGAATTTGTACTCTCTTTCTGGATATTCCATGAAATTCACAAAATGTGTTTTTGCATACTTTAAGTTTTGTTGTTTCGATTCGTATTTATAAAGAAATGAAAAATATTTAAAATTTTAGAACACTTACTATAAGTAATAGAAGATGAGTATTTAAAAAAAGATACGTACTTACAACCTAAACGTTAGATATACTGCGACGTTTTCCTGTTCTTTTTTATTTCCGATGCTATTAAAGTTTGTAAGGATAACATCCCGAATTTCTGGGTTAACTTTGTCAAAATATTGTGGTTTACATTGGCAGGTTTTTCCAGTTACACGAGTAACTGGAAAAATGTACTCTTCTCCTCTTACTCTTTTAGATTTTCTAGAATTACGTTCCCATTTTTCTTTATTTAAACATTTTCTCTTTTAGAAGGAGCTCGAAATTTGAAATCGATTGAAAGACACTGTGTCTTTCAATCCTCCAAATGAACAAACCAAATTTAATGTTATACCTTATATGTTTTTTTACAATTTAATTTTAATGTTTGATTTGTTATTTATATTTTTATAGATTTAACGTAATTTTAACGCCATTTAAAAAAAATTTTATTATATCTTGAATTCATTTTAACATGGTTTTTCCTTTGGAAAACTATTGTTTTTTATATGTTTTGCTTGGTTTGTGATCCTTCTTACGGTTCCTGACGCTTGTCGCTGAAGATGGGAATAATTTCCTGAAACATGTACGACTGTATATTTAAATAAAGCAAGTAGAAGTTATTTTATTAATTAAGATAAAGCCTTAAAATGTGGAATATTGGATTAGTACCTATCAAAGGATCTTTGCCTGCAGAAAAATGTTTGATTGATCTTGTGGAAACAAAACTCGAGCAATTTAAGTTAAGCTTAAAAAATGACATTGTTTCGATCACAACAGATGGAGCCAATGTAATGGTTAAATTGGGAAAATTAATACAGCCACTACAGCAATTATGCTTTGCTCATGGCATTCAACTTGCAATGATTTATTTTAAAATTGTACAAAAATTTGACCGCGTTATACATCACTTGACATTTTATTGTATTTAGAGATTTTCATGATGTCTGTTAGGTAAAGGTGTAACTTATCTTAGAAAAAATGCAGAATACCGAAAGACCTAAAATACCATTTGTTTTAAAGGATAAAGCTAAGCGCCAATCACGTTATCGTATAATAAGTCCCATTTGCATCATACGTCTAAGAATCGACTTAGATATGACACTTAGATACACCAAGAAATTCTACGATAGAAAAAATAGATGAACCCACAATTTCGGACCAGTGTCGTTTTATAAAATTAAAAGTTTATGTCTTTTATTTTATATAAAAGTTAAGTCTAACTAGTTTTGGCCCTTAGCCATCTTCAGAGACTCTACAAATAGATTAACATCTCTCATCTTATCCATTTTACAAACGACAGCGGTAAGTAGCGCTAGTTAGCATAAGATATCACTATATTGCATATTTTTATTGCACTAAAACTAGAACTAACACTAGACCTAGAACTAGAATCATTCGGGTGTAGCCGTCGCGAGAACCGTGGGACTAAATCCGAATGGTTCTAGTTTATTGAACTAAAACTAGAACGAGAACTAGAAACATTTCGGTTGAAAAAAACTTTCAGTTATCAATGTCAACTTTAATTTTATTATTATATTCGTAATCTTCATAAAATAACCGTTAAAGTGAGTCCGAAAACATGACGCATTTCTCTCAAAAAACCGAAAAGTTCGAACTTTCAACTATTAATTTTGACATATTTGTCAACTTCATAAAAAATCCTTTAAAATGAGTCCAAACTCGATATATTTAACTTTGATATTAATGGAGATACAATCAGTTCCGGTTTGAAACGTCAACGTCAATTTTGACATATTTGTCATCTTCTTTAAAAAACTTTTAAAATGAGACCACTTATCTCAAAAAACAAGAAGTTTGAATAAAAAACATTAAACCCGAAGTTAGCAACAATGAACATAGCAATTTAATTTTTAAATATTAATACCAACCTTAATTTTTGATTTTTTTTTATTATATTTTTGTTTTTGTGGCGAATATTAAGACATTTTATAAAAATTAAGAATATGTCAAAATGACATTGACATTTCAAATTGGAAATTGCTTATATCTCGAGTAATATTGGAATTAAACGTAACATGTTTGGACTTATTTTAAAGGATTTTTCACGACAATTACAAGTATGTCAAAATTGACGTTGACATTCTTAACCGGAAGTTGACCATAACTTCATTAATATTGAAGATAAATGTCGTGTTTGTACTCATTTTAAAGGATTTTTAATAAAAATTACAAATATGTTAAAATTGAGGTTGACATTTTAAACCTGAAGTTAGTTATCATATAATAGAACTTTTATAACTGAAGTTAATCTAGTGTTAGTCACTTTTCAGCACTTTCTTTTTATTTTTAACGTGTTTTTTGGGTCATTTCACATTGATTAAAAAAAAATCGTCGATTTTTAAGCCACATGATGATTCTGCAATTTTTCCCAAGTTTCTTAATATTTATTTTGTTAAAAAAGAGCGTTCTTAAATTTTAACCTGTAAACTTGTAACACTTCGTCCTTAATTTCATTTTACAACTTTTTAAACTTTAATTTTGTAAATTATCTATTGATCTTTTTTAACAAAAGAAAAAGAAATATTAAGAAACTTGTTTGTAAAATGGATAGGATGAGGGATGTTAATCTATTTCTAGAGTCTCTGAAGGTGGCCAAGGGCCGAAACTAGTTAAACTTAAATTCTATATAAAACAGAAACCAGTTGAAAAGTACAAAATCAAACTCTAGATAATTTTCTTCAAAAATTTTTACACGAAACATCATTTTAACTCTAGTATTTGTGATAAAATTTATGCCACGACTTACAGAAACACCCTGTATAATCGTAAAACGACTGACCAAGCGGATTCTGTGCTTGTGATGGCTGTCATCACTGTTCTGTGATAAACATAGATAGGCACCAAACAATTTTCAATAGTTTGCACTGAGAGAAATGGATTGTTCTATGCACTAAAAATATACTATAACGTAATATAATATTTAATAGTTAGTGACAGCGAGACGAGATTCAGATTGTACTGAAGCTTATAAATATAATGAATATAATACAATGAATTGCTGCATGTATACAATGAATTACTGCATGTATAATATTTTTTCTATAATACGATTCGTACAATCTATTTCTCTCAGTGTGAGCGTCTCTATTCTGAGAAGTTATATTTTTAGAGAGATGAAAACGAACATCCTGTTTTTCTCAACATTGTTCATTTGTCGCTTAGTCAAGTGAAGCATAGCGCGGTCCAATTATGAAACTGAAACACTGAAACTCTTGGCAGTACGAGTAGCAGCGAGGACGACTACAATAGTGACAATACTGAAGACGGTGGTTTTGAGTTAATTGAAGACGTTGAACAAATATCCTTTAATTTAAACAATCACGGGAACATTGACAAACTGGTAACTGAAGTACGGAAGATTGTCAAATTATTTCGTCGCTCTCCTTTAAAAAACAGTGTTCTGCAGAACTATGTAAAAGGGAAACATTGCAAGAAGTTAAAACTTATTTTAGATTGTAAAACGCGATGGAACAGCTTAGCTCAAATGTTAGAACGGGTTGTTTTTCTAATAAAGGACTGTATTCATCAATTGACTTTGAAGTTCTACAAGGAGTTGTAAAGTGTCTTGAAACTATTAAATTCACAATGTTGGCGGTATGTAGACGTGATGTCAACTCACATCATAGACTTATGTTTCAAGAACTTTCAAAAATTAATACTTCATTTAACAGAGCCTTGTAATCTGAATTAAAGCACCGCATAAATGAACGAAGAACAGTAACATCAAGTGCGTTGAGCTATCTCTGTAATCCGCTTAAATATATAGAAAGATAAGATGATTTACTTTTTGATCATCCAGATACTATGGAAATATCTCACGTTTTTTTAATTGGTACAAAGATTATCACCAATATCATTGCCAACAATGCAAGATGAAGACGATATTCCGCTGTCCTATCTTAAAAACAATCAACAAGGTAATGAAGTATCATTAGCAGAAAAATTAAATAGGATATTTGAAAATGCAATGTCTACGTCCTCCAGCACGAGAGCAATATCACCACTTCAAACTGGAGCAATAAAAAAATTTATTAATTACAATAATCAAAGACGAAATGGTCTTTTTTTGCAATGGACATTTTTTGCAAACATATTTTGATTTCGGGACTATTTTCAATTGTACACCCTAAAGGTAATTTGACTTTCTATTTTAATAGAGATGGGAAGAAGAGGACCAAATCTGTTGAAGCATGATTTGAGAAGACTAATAACAAGTAACCAGTTTTGAAGTTGGGAACTCCATCTCATTTCTTAAACAACTCAAAAACCCTTTTAACATATCTTCTACTTAAACTTTTTTAATCCTTCCTCAAAATAGTTATAAAAACTTATCGACATAAATCTATCCGGGATTGGTTTTTTATTGTTTTTTTTAATCAACCTTCATGGCATCAACTTTGATGTATCTCCCGATTGGATCGCGATAAATAATAAAAATTCCAACGCGCGGACGTTAAGTCCGCAAACTGCCCTCGCCTTATAAAGATCAATGCTCGAGGAACGGCGCGACAAAAAAACGTTCGGAAACGCTACGTTAGATTGTCGTCAAAGTCGGAGAGGCATTAGGTTTACGTTCTTTTTTTCTTAAGAAACATTTTCTCGTCGTCGTCGTTGGAGGAGTTTATTTTATAGTTCCGGTGAAACGTCCAACAGGCAACGTTAATTAATTCTCAAACAGTCTCATCACCTTTTCACGTACAGAGTACATCAAAAATTATTTATAATCAAATAAAAAGTTTTTTTTAAGTACGGTTCTGTTTTTTTTTTCTTGGGAAACAATAAGGCGAGATGTTGGAATACGCGCACGTCGCGGTTTTTTTAAACTTGTACAGCTCGTCGAAACGGCCGTAGTTGGAATCGCGCTGTAGATGGCGTTAATGGCTCGTATGTACAGGTCCGGCTCGCGCTTTGTGGAAAAACGATTTATCCGGTCGGTTAACGGCCCATTAAAATCCTAGACGAAAAAAGTGCCATAATAGAGGCCGGCATCTCGAGAAATGACCGTGTAACGACTCTTTGAGGATCTCTTGAGCTTTACCAAGAACGATTTCTTCTTTCATTCAATTTTTTTTTCTACTTAGCCGTCTTGAGAGACGTGTGGCTAAACCCGCATGTTTTTAGTTCTCTGTCTAATGTTAGTTCTAGTTTTACACTAGCACCATCACTAGAACTAACACAAGACCTAGAACTAGAATCATTCGGGTTTAGCCGAGTTGAGAGATGTGCGACCAAACCTGAATGTATCTAGTTCTCGGTCTAGTATTAGTTCTAGTTTTACACTAGCACTATCACTAGAACTAACAAAAGACCTAGAACTAGAATAATTCGGGTTTAGCCCTCTTGAGACACGTGCGGCTAAATCCACATCTTTCTAGTTCTCGATCTAGTGTTACTTCTAGTGGCAGTGGTAGGTAGCACTAGTTAACATATGATATTACTATGTTGCATATTGTTATTGAACTAAAACTAGAACTATCACTAGAACTAACACANCACGTACAGAGTACATCAAAAATTATTTATAATCAAATAAAAAGTTTTTTTTAAGTACGGTTCTGTTTTTTTTTTCTTGGGAAACAATAAGGCGAGATGTTGGAATACGCGCACGTCGCGGTTTTTTTAAACTTGTACAGCTCGTCGAAACGGCCGTAGTTGGAATCGCGCTGTAGATGGCGTTAATGGCTCGTATGTACAGGTCCGGCTCGCGCTTTGTGGAAAAACGATTTATCCGGTCGGTTAACGGCCCATTAAAATCCTAGACGAAAAAAGTGCCATAATAGAGGCCGGCATCTCGAGAAATGACCGTGTAACGACTCTTTGAGGATCTCTTGAGCTTTACCAAGAACGATTTCTTCTTTCATTCAATTTTTTTTTCTACTTAGCCGTCTTGAGAGACGTGTGGCTAAACCCGCATGTTTTTAGTTCTCTGTCTAATGTTAGTTCTAGTTTTACACTAGCACTATCACTAGAACTAACACAAGACCTAGAACTAGAATCATTCGGGTTTAGCCGAGTTGAGAGATGTGCGACCAAACCTGAATGTATCTAGTTCTCGGTCTAGTATTAGTTCTAGTTTTACACTAGCACTATCACTAGAACTAACAAAAGACCTAGAACTAGAATAATTCGGGTTTAGCCCTCTTGAGACACGTGCGGCTAAATCCACATCTTTCTAGTTCTCGATCTAGTGTTACTTCTAGTGGCAGTGGTAGGTAGCACTAGTTAACATATGATATTACTATGTTGCATATTGTTATTGAACTAAAACTAGAACTATCACTAGAACTAACACAAGATCTAGAACTAGAATCATTCGGTTTAGCCGTCTTGAGAGACGTGCGGCTAAACCCGAGTGTTTCTAGTTCTCGGTCTAATGTTAGTTCTAGTTTTACACTAGTACTATCATTAGAACTAACACAAGACCTCTCTATGGAGGAAAGTAAAGGTGGTCTTCATACCTAAAGGTGGTAGGCGTTCAAACGCGGACCCCAAGGCGTACAGACCAATTAGCCTAACTTCATTTCTCCTCAAAGGGATGGAAAAGGTAATCGATCAATACCTAAGGAATGGAGTGCTTCTCACAAATCCACTCCACCCTAGCCAACATGCTTACCAGAAAGCAAAATCAACAATTACCGCTCTCCATGCTTTGACTAGCACCTTAGAGGAGGCAATTGCAACCAAAGAGATAGCCCTTTGTGCTTTCATAGATATAGAGGGTGCGTTTGATAACACCTCATATGAATCCATAGAGAAGGCTTTAAACGCAAAAGACATACATCCGTCGACAATCAAGTGGTGTATAGCCATGTTGAAAAGTCGGCAGATCACAGCCAGTCTGGGAGGCGAGTCGCTGACTATAAAGGCGCTAAGAGGATGTCCCCAAGGGGGAGTGCTATCACCTCTATTATGGTGCCTGGTAGTTGATGACTTGATGAACACCCTAACTAAAAACGGATTTAAGATACAAGGGTATGCTGATGACCTGGTAATCACAATCCGAGGTAAATATGATTCAATCATAACTCAGCTAATGCAGAAAGCCCTACTACTCACCAGTACTTGGTGCAGAAGCAATGGGCTCAGCATCAATCCCAATAAAATCGAAATAGTCCCTTTCACTCGGAGAAGGAAGCTACAAATAAAAGCACCCTCCATTGAAAGCAGAACTATTAACCTCAAAACAGAAACTAAATACCTAGGGGTAATACTTGACAGTAAACTAAACTGGAACTCACACTTAGATAAGGTGAGGAAAAAGGCCATCATGGCAAACCAGATCTGCCGCAGGCTCCTAGGAAGGAACTGGGGTCTCAAACCACGAATGGCTCATTGGGCCTACGTAGCAATAATCAGACCCATGGTCGCCTACGCCTCATTGGTTTGGTGGCCAAAAACAAAACATAAGACAGCTCAACAACAGCTGGCACAAATCCAGCGGTTAGCATGTCTTAACATAACGGGTGCAATGAGATCCTGTCCGACGGCTGCTTTGGAAGCCCTACTTGGTCTCACACCGCTCCACATATATATACAAAAGGAGGCAGCCTTAAGTGCCTTATCACTGAAAACAGTTTCTTCACTCAAGTTGATGCAGGGTAATCTCAGAGGACACCTCGAGATCCTCAAAGACCCATGTCTAAATCACCTGATTGAAATTAAAACGGACCTTATACCGACGGAATACAATTTCAACCAACCGTATAAGGTCATATTTAGTAGCAGGGATGATTGGGCGAAAGGAGGGCCTCAACTAAAAAGAGGAGCCCTAGCCTGGTACACCGATGCTTCAAAGACAGTAAGATCTGGAGTAGGCATGGGCATCAGTGGACCAAATAGCCACATCAAATTGCCCCTCAGCTCGGACTTAACAATTTTCCAAGCAGAAGTTCTTGCTATAAACTTCTGCACCGCTTTGAACCTACAGAAGGGACAAAAAGGTGCATCCATAAACATTTTCACAGACAGTCGGGCCGCCTTAAAGGCAATTCAGGCCTACACGTGTGGCTCCGCACTGATCAGAGAGTGCACCAACAACCTGAGAGAACTCGCTAGGGGCAATGATGTTACCCTATGGTGGGTTCCAGGTCACAGCAACATTGAGGGCAATGAGAAGGCCGACAAGCTGGCCAAAGAGGCAGCAAACACGCCCTTCATTGGACCCCAACCTGGATGTGGACTACAAAAAAGCCACCTAAAACAAATAATCAACAACTGGGAGGCTTCAAAGATAGCCTTACGCTGGAAAGAACTTCCAGGTCACAGACAAGCGAAGAGTATGATAACTCCGTCGCAAAACAAAACCAAAGAGGTTTTATGCCTCAGCAAAGGGGATCTAAGAACGCTCTCAGGCTACCTAACCGGCCATGTGCCCCTAAAATACCACCTCTTCCACATTGGACAAGCTGAGGATCAAACTTGTCGACTATGCAACGACGAGTCAGAAACTGCTGAACATATACTGTGCAATTGCGTCGCCAGAGACCGTCTAAGGCACAACGTCTTCGGTAAAACTCCCCTGTTACCTACCGACATAAAGGTTCAAGACCTCAGGACAATACTAAGGTTCATTAAGGACCTACATTTGCCCTAAACCTTTGGAGGGCTAAAGTTACAATAGATCTTATAGGTCGCGGTAACGAGAGGGGCCGCCCTCCTCAGCCCGGCAGCAATAATAATAATAATAACACAAGACCTAGAACTAGAATCATTCGGGTTAAGCCGTCCTGAGAGACGTGCGGCTAAACCCGAATGTTTCTAGTTCTCGGTCTAATGTTAGTTCTAGTTTTACACTAGCACTATCACTAGAACTAATACAAGACCTAGAACTAGAATCATTCGGGTTTAACCATACTGAGAGACGTGCGGTTAAACCCGAATGTTTCTAGACGGCCAGCAACATCTCTTTCCTAGTGTAATTTTTGCTTAAAACTGACCAATAGCAACCCTTCTTTTTGGCGTTTCAATTTGAAAACACTCCTCCGAATTAAAAAATAGAGTATAGATATTCTGTTTTATGAAGTCAAGAAATTTGATCATAACTTAAAAATTAATAAATCTTTTTTTTGATTTACCTATTTAATAAAGTATTAAAATAATCTTCCCCAATTGATTTCGTCGTTAAAACGTAATCTAAAAACCATTGATTAAAATATTCTTGTTTCGATAAAGTTTCTTCAAAAACGTGCAAATTAGGTTCATCTTTCCATCGCTTTATAATTTGGTGTTTAGGGTCACGCGTTAAAGAGGACAAAAAAGGCCACATAATATACATTTGGATTGCATGTTGTTCGGAAATTCCCAAAAATTTTAATAAAACCTCCAAATGATCTCTTAATTGATGTTGGGCTGACCTTTTATTATTTTTGATGACCTTTGCATCGCTTGTAACTTCTAAATCTTTTATTGATGCGTTAGAATCGTGTGTTGATTTAACTTCGATTAAAACAACATGGATGTTATCTATAAAAAATTTATTTTAAATTTAATTTTTTAATAAAATATAACTTACTATGATATTTAATAAATAACACAAAATCGTGTTCTCTAATCATTAATTTCCCATCTCGTTGATTCCTAAATGAACGCCCGGCGTAAGATGCACTATGAAAGAATATTAACCAAAGCCCTTTGATTCGATTTTCACTTTTCAACCCACGAAGTCTATCAAAAATAACCTTCTCCGCTAAAATCGCTTGTTTTTCGCCGCTTTTTTGAAAACTTTTTGGAACGCTATGCACGGTCTCATTTGGAAATTCTCTTTTGACGAACCTAAAAAATTAGTTTCTTTTTAATTGCTGAAATGTTGGAGGGATTATTGTTAATTAATAATTAAAATGGCGTTTAATTTTATGTGATAAAATGGTGTCAATTAAAAAGTTTTAATTACGACAATTATAAGCGAAGACATCATCATGGTCTGGAGACCGAAACCGATTTTCTACAAAGTTAATGACGAATTGTCTTCGATTTCACACGTTCGTGGTCGTCCTCAACAGCTAAAAACATTTTTCTTATTTTATTCCCCTTTTTTTTTTTTAATATTTCAAATTAAGAAACTCAACTTCTTTCTTCATCTATTCTTAATAGTTTGCATTGATAGAGTCATAATAATTGTAAAACCCTTAACCCAAGTCATCAGGAACCAGTTGCAAGATATTGCCTCTTGAAGGCATGTGGTTTCAACTAGACAATTCCATTTACCATTTGTATCAGTGTAACGTTAACATTTTTACAACTATTTTCCTGATCGCGCCACTTCTTGCTTTGGAGACTAAAATTGGTCTCAGTTATCACGAGAAAATCATGTTCCAAAAAAGGCGAAAATGTGATATTAATTTCCAGCGTGTATTATGACATTCTATATTTATTAACTTCTCGAAAAAGGTTTCTCTATATTCTATATTGTTATTTTGACACTCTTTTAAATGATATGGAAGAGTGCTGCTAATACGAGTTATTTCCGCATTGCTGATTCCACACAAAACGATTGCTGTATATCCAGAAAAGTTGCCGAGCTGAGGGGAGTGGCCCCTCTCGTCACCGCGACCTATTGCAACTTTAGCCCCCCAAAAGTTTAGGGCAAATGTAGGTCCTTAATGAACCTTAGTATTGCTCCAAGGTCTTGTTCCTTTATGTCGGTAGGTGTCAAAAGAGCTTTACTGAAAATGTTGTGTCTTAGGCGACGCAATTACACGGTATATTTTTAGTCGTTTTTGACACGTCTTTGGAAAGTCGACAAATTTGATCCTCAGCTTGTCCAATGTGGATAAGATGGTATTTTAGGGGCGCATGGCCGGTCAGGAAACCTGAAAGCGTCCTTAGATTCCCTTTACTGAGGCATAAAACCCCTTTGGTTTTGCTTTGCGACGGAGTTATCATACTGTTTACCTGTCTGTGACCTGGAAGTTCTTTCCAGCGTAAGGCTACCTTTGAAGCCTCCCAACTGTTGATTACTTGTTTTAGGTGTTTTTTTTTTGTAGTCCTCAACCGGGTTGGGGTCCTCTTTGGCCAGCTTGTCCGCCTTCTCATTGCCTTCAATGTCTCTGTGACCTGGAACCCACTATAAAGTAACATCATTGCTTCTAGCGAGATCTCTCAGATTGCTGGTACACTCTCTGATCAGTGCGGAGTCATACGTATAGGCCTGAATTGGATTTAGGGCGGCCCGCTTGTATGTGCAAATGTTTATAGATGCACCTTTCTCTCCTTTTTATAGGTTCAAAGCGGTGCAAAAATGTATAGTAAGTACTTCTGCTTGAAAAATGGTTATGTCGGAACTGAGGGGCAATTTACCACTACTCCAGATCCAACTGTCTTTGAAGCATCAGTGTACCAGGCAAGGGCTCCTCTTTGTAGTTGATTAGCCTTATAAGGTTGATCTAAATTATATTTTGTCGGTTAAGGTGCGTTTTAATTTCAATCAAGTGATTTAGACATGAGTTCTTGAGGATTTCATCAGCTTGAGTGTTAAGGCCCCCTTTTGTATATATGTATAACAAGATCTCATTGCACCCGTTATATTAAGACATGCTAACCGCTGGATTTATGCCAGCTGTAGTTGTGCTGTCTTATGATTTGTTTTTAGCCACCAAACCAATGAGGCATAGGCGACCATGGCTCTGATTATTGCTACGTAGGCCCAATGAGCCATTCGTGGTTTGAAACCCCAGTTCTTTCTGAAGAGCCTTCGGCAGATCTGGTTAGCCATAATGGCCTTTTTCTTCACCTTGTCTATGTGGGAGTTCCAATTTAATTTACTGTCTAGTATCACCCCTAGGTATATAACTTCTGTTTTGAGGTTAATAGTTCTGCTTTCAATTGGTGCTCTCAATTGTTTAAGAATATGCATCGACTAATTGAATTAAGATTAGAGGTTCCAGTATTATTGAAGTAAAATATTAAAAGTGCCAAGTATTTATATAATAGCTTACTAAAAAACTCATTGTCATGATTGTAGCACCCGATTTTCTTCATACTGAATAAAGAGGCTAAAGGGCTTTGATTGTTTTGTAAACAAATTAAACAATAATTGCCTAACTTTTCATCAATTTGATTAGCTAACTATTTTCTAGCAACACCGCTCAGATTTCGAATGCGTTTAGATTTAAAACTGGTCGTTTCTTCGAGATACTTGTCAGCACCAATAACTTTTTTAAAGCATATTAATGTGTTTCACAAAAGTCATCTTATTACTTATGCAAAATTCGAATTTAAACAATATCATCATGTTTTGTCGAAAGCTTACAATTAGCGATGCTCGATTAGTAATCTTGGTTTTCTGTCTAGATTTCAAATTTAACGATCAAGTTCTTATCAAATATACTTTAAAGGAGTTAGATCCGGAGATTGAGGTGGATGGTCAGGCTGTTTCGGTACATTACACAGAAGCTAATGATTTAATTTTGTAGTTTTGTAGGTGGGGATCAATGTCTGTAAGTCACTGTATATATAGTTCTTGCTTATGACCACTAGATGGCAGCATATATTAGAACTTTTTTTTAACTGAATTTTATTTTATATTTATAAAAACACGTATCTATAACATAAATAATATACAGGTGTCATTACAAACCAAGTTTCAGTATTTAATTTCAAAGTAATAAATCAAATATTTATTTTACTGTCACTATTATTTAGTAGCCATGACAACCAACATATACATAATTAAGTCTTTCTAAACATAACCTCACTCTGTTTGTTTGGATTGGATTTTAAAAGAAATAAATTATTGTAATGAAGTAATTCTTATTTAACTAATTCGATTATATGAATAACCTCAATAATTAATTAGGTAAGTAATAATATCGTTATTTTTAATTGTAATTAAATTTTAAAACTTATCTCCTTTGTTTTTGCAGGTTATGTTGTAGAACTTCTCTGGAATTTGGATATTATGAATCGGAGTACTTAATTCAATTAAATCTATGTTGAAATAGGCTTTTTTTGTCGAGTTACTTGGAGATAAAATTAACTTTCATCATTTTTATTTACTTATCAAAGCCTCTAATTGGTGGAAAATGTATAGAGTTGAGCAAAAAGTAAATGTATAAGGGAAATCAAACATTTTATGAATTTAATCCTATAAAAATTCAATGAGTACTTTAAAATCTAAAAGAATTGATTGAAATTGAATGAAAATAAGCATATTTTTTAGATTATATTAAAATTTAATCTTAAATTAGAGTTAATTATTTTTTAAATATGTACTGTCAAATAAAAGTGAGGTTATTGGATCTGGGGAAATATCAATATTATTAATTATTATAGTACCTACGAAATTAAGTATTTTTTAATAATTTATAAAGAAAAGTCTTTTTAACACAAAAAATGGTTTATCAATAATTTATGAGATCAAAATTTGTAACGCTTTTATTTATTGTTTCTACAAAAAAGGAACTTTCTCACGAATCTCTTTTTTACAGTATGTTCCAGTTCTTCTTTATCTCATGAATCGTTCATGAACGTGGTGTGGCCATTGGAGCGAGGTAAAAGATATCAAAATAGAAAGAAGGGAAGAAGAAAATCGAAAAGAAAAGAGTACACTTAGTCTTGGTGTCTTTGGTGCTTCTGTTGGTTATTTATAAGAAGTGGAATGGTTCTCTTATGTTGTCAACGACGACTGGTTTTGCCCGTTTGTAGAAACTCAAAAACTCGGCATCGACGCCGAGAGAAAGAAAAATAAAACGAAGGTAATGTATTTATACGAAAAAGGAGGTTTTACTTACTTTTGTAAATATTCGTTGGTTTCGATGCCGTTAGCTTCCGATGGTAGATAAATTCGATTTTGGTAAACCATTTTATTAAAATCTTTTATATTTTACATCTTCAAATCTTTTTATTATCATTTCAATTGTTATTTAATCTTCATGATATGCAGGTTAACATTTAAAAAAGTCTTATTATAAATTTAAATTATTTGTGGGTAAAATTCCACTTTACTACATTTTTTTGTTTATTTTTTAAAATCAATTAACACTTACATAACAGAAATAGTTACACTTTCTTCTTAAAATTTTAAAAATGATTTAATTAAAAGGTTAAAATTAGCACCTCATCTTGTTTTCACCTAACTCAGTGACAAACTGACATCAACTGGACACACTCATAATAAAAACCAATCTTAAAAATCCCAACAACCTTCAACTAAATGCTTCAACGTTTCTCAAACAAATAACACGATAACTTTTTTTTTTCTTATTAGTTTTAAAGGAAATCGTTTTAAGAATAAGCAATGAAATATAAAACCACATGAAATGATTCATTTATTCTAGTGTGTCATATTAATCTTTTATCTATTTACTTTGTCCGGAAAGTTTGAAATTGATAAGGAAACTAATTGCTATACTTAAACCACAATTGGGAAATTCGTTACAATTTTTTTGCTGCACACATTTTTATGTGATTCACGTTAGGGGCTTTTTCCGTTTCGTATTATGTTGCTTCTATAAATAATAATTAATATAAAAGATCCTTAATCCGGGATTTTGATTTAAAGGTATAAATACTCAGTTCATTTTGCATTTTTTAATCAGTTCTCTTTCGAAATGTTTGCTGGTAAGAACTTGCTCGTCTTCAATTTTTTGTTTAATAATTTTTCTTCGTTTTGCAGAGATGATGAACTATTGTGGCAATGCTGTGAGGTTGAGGAACTCCTCAACCGCTGGCAGAAAAATATAACGCCAACGGTGGTGGAGTTACCATGCCTCACTACAAATTAATAGTTCTTAAGTAATCCTTCTTCTCTTTTTTATTGATTAAAAAAATCGCTTTGTAAGTTGCTTGTAGATGTCAACCCACTCACATTACAACGAACAAGAAAAATTTTAAACGCGTATTAATTATAATCCTGCTATGATTAATTAGATTTAACCGAGTCATATTTTTAAATAGGTTTTAATGTTATAATTACTTTTTTTGTGAAATTAATTTTTAAATTTATAACAATACCGATTAAATTTTTTTATTCAATTCTTTAATCCATATCTGTTACATAAATAACAGTTAGTTTTTATTGTTACCTTTTTTTTTCTTGTAGGTGCGGTCAAGACAAAGATAACCATTATAAATAACTGAGAGTCACAAGTTTCTTTCTTATTAAAACTTCATTTACTTTAATCTTATTTTAATAAATCATATAACAATAATCTAAAAATAAACAATCATTTATTAAACTAGCAGTAATGCATATGCTGGTTTAAATGGAAGGAGAGTGAAAAGTGTTGTCAGAAACCTTGAAAATATTATAAAAACCGCGACGACGGACGTCGTCGTCGTGTCATGGTCATGAACAAGTGTGCTATAAAAAAAAAGAAAAGAACAAGTACAATAAATGATTACCCCAGTTAAATAATAAATAACGCCACCTTCCGTTACGCATAGAAAGCTGAAAGATAAAGAGATAAAATACGCCTACTTAGATATTAAAATAGCTATCGTAGATTTTATAATAACTTAACATTTCAAGATTATTATTGTTTCTTCTGTAACCATTTCATTTATTGCATTTGGTTTTTGTATTAAAAAAGTTTTGTCGGAAACATAACGTTAAAAAATTAGTTCAACCTATCATCAGTTATAAATATTCGAACTTTAAGGATTATCAAAACAGAGTAAAAAGTTCTTGTCTAAAAACGACGAATCCAAAGAATTTGAAAAAGCTTGAAGTAAAAGAAATACCAAGACTTGGTAGTTTCAAACGAAGAATCCATGAATTTCCAAATAAGCAAAAAATATTTTCCAAGTCCATTTTAAAATAGTAAAACATCGATAAGACGATGTTTGGCAACATAAAATTACGGTTGAGTTTGGAAAAGTTTTTTGACAAGTCCAACTTTATATACAGTGTGTCCCAGGATAGATGTTACAAGAGGTATAATGACTTAAAAATTTTTGAATTTTATTTTAAGACTGAGGAATTAAGCCCTGCTTGGTGTGGAGAGAATTTTAAGTACATTTTCATATTTTGAAAATCAACTCGGCCTTGATAGTGAACCGAAAACTATTTTGAGTTCAGGTAAAGTAAGCTTTTTGTTCATGATACGGCAAAATATCATTAAGAAAAGTTGTTCAGAATGAGACATTATGGCACTATGCTAAATTTCGGAATGATCTACCTACTTTGGTTGAACCATCACATTTTAGTGAAATAACATAAATATTGTATAGTAATTAAAATGTGAACTAAAACTGAGGGATAATACAATTTATTTGTCAATACTTGCGACTACTTAAGTCATTTTTCTTCACTCTGATCTAATATAAAATATGGTGGTTTAATTAATGTAGGTAGATCTTTCTAAATTAGCATAGTGCCTTAATTTCTCATTCTGAACAACTTTTCTTAATGATATTTTGCCATATCATGAACAAAAAGCTTACTTTACCTGAATTCAAAATAGTTTTCGCTTCACTATCAAGGCCGAGTTGATTTTCAAAATATGAAAATATACTTAAAATTCTCTCCATACCAAGCAGGGCTTAATTCCTCAGCCTTAAAATAAAATTCAAAAATTTTTAAGTCATTATACCTCTTGTAACATCTATCCTGGGACACACTGTATGAATAAATATGTTAGATTTTTACTTTGTATGAAGATGAAGACAACGACAAATGCATGCGCAGCGATCTGGGCTGAACCCCGATTCTAGCTGGACAAAATTATTTTATGGACTTAACAAGGGCTAAAATTCTAGAGTAGTTTAAAAAAATATACGAAGAAAAAAAGTAGGTGTTTTAATTCTCAGAACAGAATTTTGAGGTTTTTCATATATTTTTTAGGGAAAGATTGGTATAAAATAAAATGTAAAAATAAAATAGGTACTAGTTTATTTCCTAGTAAAATGAAGAATTATTTTTACAAAAATTCAAAATCAGAATCATCATCCGACTCGCTCGGATCAACCATATCTTCTTCCACTAAATCCGTGATCAGCTCCCTTGACTCAGGACTCAACTCCTTCAATGGAACTTTCTGGAAAGTTCTAAGGCCTGTAATAACAGGATCCGATGATATTAAAAGCATGTGAACTAAGTCTTCACAGGTTTCTATATATGAGGAATTTCTAGTGTGCTGGGCTCTAAATCGCTTCACATGGGGGTAAACTTCTTCACACCATTTAGGCTCCAGCGGTTGATTCTCTTAAGTACGCGAGGTTGGGACGGTCACAAACAATATGACTTACCGTCTCATCTTCCATTTCACACCCTCTACAGAAGAATGTATTCGCTAGCTTCATGTAGAACATGAACTTAGGTCAGGAAGTGGGTGAGGAGATTCAAGTCACTTTTTGATTTTCCCAGGAACTAAGTAGATCTCTTTCGGTTAGGGTAGGCAGAGTTTTGTTTGCAAAGACACCTACTGCCTCATATCCTTATTCCTTGCTGCCCTATTGGAACAAGGGCATGTTAGATGGCTAAAGAGCCCTGTAATAGTATATTAAAAAACAAGTTTCGTAAGACACGTTTAAAATGCACGAATTCAAGTTGAAAAACGAGTTTTTTAATGTATGAGTGCTTTAAGTCTTATGAAACGCTATTTTTTGTAATTCGCGTTTTTATCCTTTTTTTTTCTCAAAAATAAAATAAATTTTGACAATGTAGAGAAATAGGTATGTAGCAGTTGGTAACACCGTAACACTTGAAAATAGAAATTTGAATTGACAATTAGAAACTGTCAAAACACAAAATGTATTCACCTGACAAAAATGTTTCATGTACACCTCCCAAAATAAGAGAAATTGCTCCGAGTTCAACGTCATCATTGTGGACCTTGTATTCGATGCTAAGAACGTGTTTAAACATCCATAGACAAAAATTGTCACATTGACAACTAGAAAAATTAATGAGCCGATGTCACCAACTTGAACTGGTTCCATAAAATGTTACTAAAATCTCATTACAGCATCGGATGCTGTAAGGAGTCTCATTACAGCACCCGTTTGAGTACTGTTAGAGCTTTGATTACCGTCGCGAATTACAAAAAAGGATTTTATGTAGCCATCAATGACCAATGAATGTAAATTATCCTTTCTCTTGCAATTTTAGTTCTCTATCTTCTATCTGCCATATTGATTTTTGAAAAGTTTTAATTCTGATCCCAGATTCGACCAATTCACCAATACCAAGTTTTATAAAAACAATCAAGCGAAAATGAAAAAGTGTTATCAGTTTTAATTGAAGAATTTTTGTTATATCTCAATTTATGATTCATTATGGCCCTCCTTCTTTGAATATATTGTTAATTATATCTCTAATGAAAAAAAGTTGCGCCTTAAAATGTAAAGAATTTTTCATTTTCCACGAAGCAAAATCACACTCTTATATGAAATGAATGGTATGAACTTACCTTCTTTAATCTGATATTTTCAGTGCTTGAAACGTCTTCCTAAAAGGTATCTAAACAGGTTAGATTAACACTCAAAAAAAAAATAAACAATCATGTCGCCGAACAGATAATATAAAGTAAGATCACATTAATGTATAGTGCTCTATTTGCATTCAACCGTTTTCAAAGTAACTTCTTACACACTATTATTCGCTGTAATAGTAAATTTTTTTGGAATTAGATTCCAGATTCAGCCCAGTGTTCGCCGTGTAGATACACTAAAAACAAAAATCTTTTTAGTTTTGCTACAATGGGTTGTCCAGAAAATGATTAAAATTAGACCAAAAATTTCAAATTTTGCTTCTGTAAGATTTAAAAGACATGGGCATGAGCATATTGGTTACCCAAAGTGTTTGGTGCTTAATTGCGTTTTGTATTGGATAGCTTTGATAGCAACCATTCTGCGTTAAGCGACCTCAGTTCATGATGGTTTTTGCATACAAAAGTAGCCGAGCAGCTATATATTAAAAAACTACTAAACTTATTATATCTTGTTTAATTTCAAAAACTGGTTGTCCAAAATGTCAAGTATAAAACTTAACAGTCGTGGTATGCGGTTGTGGCCGAGGCAGTATATTGAGACATACCAGAATCATTATTTTTTAAAGGTTTTGATTCTTCTGATTATCTTGAAGATATTAAGTATTCCGAATTATTGCTCTATAACGCTTCTTATACTGTGTCATGGAAATAATAAAAAAACTCATGTTTAACTATCATTAAAAGTTGCTTCAATGCCCCAAACCCGTTATTAAACTTGAAATGCCAATCGGAATAGCACAATTTAAAAAACAATTCGGTGCACGATTCAAGTACATAATTGCATAGAGATTCATATCTCGATTTTATAACAGTTTGCAGAAAGATTCAATGTTTCATTTCTTCTAATAATTTAGAAAGAACTTAAGTTTTATTTTGGAAACCAGTTCGGAAAGTAATTTAAATACCTAATTATATAAAGATTCAAGTTCCAATTGGGGATCAGTTTGGAAACAGAGTAACATTATGGTTACTCAAGTATCTAAATGTTTACAGTTTAGAGAAAAATGTCATTAAAATTTAGAGTCAAAACTCCACTTTAATCGGAAAAAGAATGAAAAATTTTAAAATCAACGTTTTTTTTTCCAGTGATGTTAAAGTTAAAGAATGATTAATAATTGTTCATTACCTTGACTCCGCGCTATAAAAGAATCTAAAAGGTAAATGTCAAGTTTATTTAGAATACGTAACGTCACGACAACTTTTTTTTTATTTATTTATCGAGAGACGATAGAAATTTTCAAAGAATGAAAAAATAAATTAAATCATCATAAATATAAAAATATATAGTAGGCTTATTAAATGTTTTGATTGATCGATAAATTTACATATATATTGTATATCTAAAGACATTCATCAAACCCACTCTCAACTCTGCATTATTAGTGACATGAATTAAAGGAAACAAGTTAACCGGTAACAAGAATATTTAAGGCCCTATTGTTACTGCCATAAATTCTCTCACCTTGCCAAGTCTGTCTTCTTTTACAGGTAAAACAGAATCAGATGTCAGAGATTCCACACATTTCGACGTGGAACCTCTATTCACCAGAGTACCAGTCAAAGATGCGGTGGATGGTCTCATCCCGGAGGGTTTTCCAAAGTATGTCCCAGGACTAATGGAGTACTGCCTATCGTCGACATATTTTAGCTGGGAGGGAGAGTTCTACTAGCAATGCGAATCATGGGATCATTTCTGTCATCTGTGATCACCAATTTTTACATGGAGATGTTTGAAGAGTACTATGGCCGTTACGTCAATGACACCTTTGTGATCTGGCACCATGGAAAAAAGCAACTTCAGGAATTTCTAGACCACCACAATTCACAGTACTCCATGATAAAATTTACCATGGAAACAGAAACTGCAAAACCTTGTCATTCCTGGATGTGTTGGTCATTAGGAAGACAGATGGGGGCATGGAACTGAAAATATATCGTAAGAAGATGCATACGATACAATAGAAGAGGTTTGTGATTCAAGCCTTATTCCATCGAGCAGAGAGAACCTGAGGAAAGAAGAAAGATTCCTAGAAGATGTACTGCGGAAGAACGGCTATACCATGAGGGATATCCAACGAGCCACCAAACCGTGCAAACAAAAGGATGACTCGGTAAGTATGACACCAGCCGGTTTTATCTGCCTTCTTTATATTTCAGGTGTGGCGGAGCGAATTACTAGGTGTCTGAAGAAGAATTATATCGTGGTACGATACGGTACTCTCTTCCGATAGCCAAAGACAAAGTAACCTCATTAAAGGGAGCTACGTAACATCGAATGACGCAACAAAGAACACGACAGGGATGTGTGACTGAGTAAAATTCAACAATCTGCAGCCACAAAGGAGGACACATCATAGAGTTTGACAAAACCAAAGTACTAGCAAGAAACGGACATTACTTATTAATAGAGAAGACGGTTGAGAACTCAGCAGCACTTGGACTTAACTAGTGAACTTAACGAAACCTTCTCCACCCGGATTTGACAAAAACAATTCCTTCGTACTTACAAGAATATTTAATTAAGTTACGTTAAACTACTCCGATTGATATTTAATGAGATGAAGAAAAGGTTCGTTTCTTAATCGAGAATTGGAGTCTCTTTAAGAATATAATTTTTTGGGTTGGTATAAAAAAGTGCAAAACTTGTGAGCGTTGAGTTATGTAATAAGGAAAAATCGCAGTGTGCAAATTAGAAAGAGACGACTACATCGGTCAGCTGTTAAATAAAAATAACCTCGGGCTGTCGTCGTCGTTGTCGGGTGCCATATGCTGCTACTTGTTGAGTAGTTGTCTTAAAGGCCGTTTATTAGGACCGTTCTAACAGTTGGCAACCTGTTAGAAAGGATATAAAAGTTTAACGACTAAAAAAAGGAGGAGATGAATTTTTTTTTTTTCCTAAATAAAGTTGGAAAATAAGATTGAAGTTTCTGTATTTGATGTATCGTTGAAATCTCCAACAAAATTAAGAAGATGAAAAGCAAAAATGAAATCTTTTTTTTCGTTTCAATTAAAAGGAACGAGATAGTTGGCAATGAAATTCTTGTATAGGCCAACAATCACCATTTTAATAGAAGGTGGCAATGACTTCGACGGGGGCCGTAGCCGCAACCGTAGCCGCCGTCACGGCCGTCCATTTAGCGAAAGCGTACGCGCGCTGCCGGCCGTGCTGCCGCCGAAGTTAACCCCACCATGTTCTCAACCGCGCCACCACTGGGAAAAAAGTAACAGCAGGAAAGAGAGAAGACGAAGACGACGACAACGACGTTACATGGTTACGGCGAAGGTGTTTGACCGTTCAGGGTCGAACACTTTTTGTCGTAGTATTGACCCGACTCTTCGAACTATAATAAAAGAAGAATTCTTTAAACCCCAATAATTTTTTTTTTACATTAATACGATTAAAATTATTTAATCAAAAAATGTTAATATGTATTAATGATGGAAGAAAATTCTTGGTTTAATTTGACTGACATTTAAAACTTGACATAAAAAAGTTGTTCTCTTCGTCAAGTTTTTTCTTCATCAATTCATTCTTCACCTTTAAACGTCATTTAAAGACTAAGATATGAAGGAATAAGAAGAAGAAGATGGTTTGTTATCCTGAAGCTCCAGATGGAGTCAACATCCTTTGGCAAGGACACGCTCTCGCCCGGCAACACTTTTCTTATTAGTTATAGAGGAAGAACCAGAAGGAGTAAATGTAAAAGTAGAAGAAGGAAAACGTATTCATTCTTTTTTTCGTTTTTACCAACCACCATCATCATCAACAGTAACCTACAGCATCTTAAAATCGTTAAATTATTCAAAGATTTTCTCTCGAAGGAATCCTGTTTTACGCGTTGAGATGGGCGCCATCTGTCGGGCCGACCGCGTATAATTTATGGATACGCACAAAAAGTGGTTTACGTTTGCTAATTTTCGAAGACCTTCGGGCGATGTCGATTATGGATTGAAGAAGTATTTTTTTTAGTTATTATCAAGTTTTTCAAGATCTTGTTATGCCGAGTTATCAAGTTTTATGGCGCTAAAAAATTATTTAAGATTCATTAAAAATATTACTACTTCATTCTTAAGAAACACATCTCTAATACCAACAAAAAAACAAATATGAATAAGAAACATAACACTTATTGAATAATCATCGTGTAATGTTACACATGTTTTTTTTTCTTTCTTTTTGTATTCATACTTAGTAATTTCAAGGATTTTATTAAAATTTCTTAAAAGTTTCTTTAAGAAAAGTGTTATAAGATGATTAACGCAGGATTTTAACGCTCTTAAAGAAACACGTGGTAAACAGTGACAGGATACTTATTCTTTTTTATGCTAAACACCGGAAAATGATCGTACTTTCAAGGTATTTTTTTTTCATCATCCTTTTACTTTAAAAAAGAAATATTTTGAAATTCCCTATACATCCATATACAGGACCCATCAAAATTTTTGTTCATTAACTAGTGATTCTCACGGTAGGTTTTTCAAAAAAAAGTTTAGTTTGGTGGTCGTCAGACGACGGAGAGCAAGAGGGCGCGACGAGCGTTTTCCGGCGCTTCAACTTGCCCCCTTCCCTCCCAGTATTTCTCCTCTCAACCCCGTAGCGGGCGTTGCACCTGACCTTGACTCTCACCCCACCTGTTGAAAACTGACCACCATGACACAAAAAAAGCCCGACTTCCACGATTCTATTTTAATAAAAATTTTAATTAAAATATAACTTACTTCATCTTCATTTAACCATCTTAAAATTTCTTCTCTGGAAATCACTCGCGGTGGAAAAATCACTTAATCAAAAACTGGTAAAAGTCTTTCCTCTAAATGAAATGATTAAAATAAAGAAAAAATGAGTGAAGAAAGTTTTGGAAAACTTAATGAAGAATCAGAAGAAATTTTTTTCTTCTTTTTTCTTATTCTTCATTGGATTCGTTGCTGATTCTTTGGGTTTTGTAGTGTTTTGGTGAGTGTGGTCGCGATGGCTGCCGAAGCCAGACTGTTGGAGTTCCGGAGGCGGCCCGCGCTGGCATTACCCCGGAGGAGGAGGGACCCGTGGAAGAATGAGAATAAAACCAATTGGAAAAGTCAAGTCTGTGCCCGTGTGCACATGGATACCGGTTTGAGCCCGTCCGCGTTCGTCTTGCGCTTGGCTATGCTGGCCCCTTTATGCCGCGCGTCGCATGACCTCGACTTCAGCGCCGCGCCGCGTCGCTTATCGTAATTGCCGGTGTCTTCTTCTTCTTCTTAGTCTCCTTCGTTTCCATCCACAACTTCTTCTTCGATTTTAAACCTTCATCTTTCTGCTTTTCTTAACCCGAGAATCTCAAAAAAAAATTCTTCATAATTCATTAAATGAAGAAAAAAATTATTTTGCTTTCGAATGTGATTTTTTTTAATTCAACACTGTTGAGTTGCACCTGTCCCTCAACTAAAGCACCTGAGAAGAAGAAGAAGGCCAAGAAGAGTGCGGGTCGTAATCGAATAAACTATTTTATGGGTTAGGGTCGTCATCAGGCGTTCGAGATACGTTATCTTTAAAGAAGAATAAAGCAGAAACGGAACCCGTTATAACCGCCAAAGAAGCGTCTACGAAGATTCTTTTACAACGTTCGTTTAACATGAATATGTATCAAAGAAGAACGGTGTAGGAAAATGAATACAACTTAAAAATCTTTACATATCCAAAAAAAATATAATTTTTTAATTTAATTTAATTTAAAAATTAAAAACTGGATTCAGCACTAAAAAGATGACTCTTCTCTTTACAAATCTTCCAACTTTCAAAGCGATTGCATCAGAAATCGATTTTTCTCACTTTATTTCTCGCATATGTAAGTAAGCTTTCTCTTTATTGTAATCGTACAAAAATTCGGCATCGAGATTTTGATAGAACTGTCATTTTGAGTTCAACTTATTTATTTCTGCTTTGCTGACGATTCCGGATATTTCTCAAAAGAT